GGATTTGACATGTTTTTTTGACATCATACTTCATGTCAATTTGATGTTGTTATGACATCAAGGTGCTTGCTGGGTCATTAAATTCTACCATGTACGAAAATAAATCATGCATTATTTAAACTTTTTAACTTGTAATTAGTAATTTTTACAACAAGAAATGAATCACTACAAGGTGGAAATCGACTTTCCATATTAAAAATGTAGATATTTAAGTACCATCAGTTTAAAAACTATGAAGTAAATTCTGTTTTTTCTCTGATTGAAACAGGTGAATGGAAGAAACATCTCCTACCCCTTTATGCCTAGAAAAGGGCTGTCAGTCTCATTCAGAAATGAGGCAGTCGTCATTGAGAAAACATCTATCCTGAGACTGACTTACTCTGTCGCTGAAGGGGTGGTGTTAACCGTAAGCAGAGACCTGAGGGGCAATGTTTGTGGTGCGTGTGGTAACTTTAATGGAGACACTGCAGATGATATGACAACTTCTTCTGAGAGGAACTCCACTGTGATGTCTCTGGATGTATCATCCTGGAAGGCTGAAGACTTCTTTACATGGTGAGCACTTGCTAGTACAGAAAATAAAACTATTTTAGTTCTGCGAGTTTAGTCACCTATAATGGAAAAATTCACAAAAAAATGTAAATTGCTGTTAATTTGTTTGTTTTAGTACAACATTAAAGAAATGTTTCAGCTGAAATCGTATTCCTTGGTGATTCACACAACGCAACCTGAACAGCTACTCACACTTTTAGACATTTACAGTTGAAGTCACTATTATTAGCCCCCTGTTGAGTTTTTTCCCAATTTCTGTTTAACGGAAAAAGATTTTTAACACATTTCTTAACATGATAGTTTCAATAACTCATTTCTAACAACTGGTCTCTTTTATTTTTGCTATGATGTCAGTACATAATATTTTACTGGATGTTTTTCAAGATACTAGTATTCGGCCTACTGTAAAGTGACATTTAAAGGCTTAACTAGCATAATTAGGCAAGTTAGGGTCATTAGGTGAAACATTATATAACAATAGTTTGTTCTGTAGACAGTCCAAAAAATATTGCTTAGGGGGGCTAATAATATTGACCTTAAAATGGTTGTAAAAAAATACACAATAATGAAACAATATTAAAACAAGTATATATTTCTACAGAAGATTTTTTTTTTTTAAGAAAATACTGTGAAAAATTTGCCACTGTATAGGCAAAACAAAATTACTACCCATGGCTCCTGAAGATACATTGAGGTCTTGCATTGCAAAACAGTCATCCATGCAATAAACTGAATGTTATTTACAGCAATAACACCTTTAAAATGCCACTTTTGCTAATTTTGTCACTTAATGGCCTTTATCAAACACTGGGAATATGTAACCTCAAGACTTTAATGCAGGGGTCACCAATCTCAGTCCTGGAGGGCCGGTGTCCCTGCAGGGTTTAGCTCTAACTTGCCTCAACACACCTGCCTGATTGTTTCAAGTATACCTAAGACCTTGATTAGCTTGTTCGGGTGTGTTTGATTAGGGTTGGAGCTAAAGTCTGCAGGACACCGGCCCTCCAGGAACAAGTTTGGTGATCAATGTCTTAATTTATTGTCAAAAGCCACTGGTATTAATTTTGATTTGTTTAGGGTTTTTTTTTTATTCAAAGTATTGAAAGTATTGACTTTTACAGTATTTAATAAATCTTAGATCTAAAAATCATTAATGTTATGCTGATGAAATTAAGTCATCTACATTTAAGAGTTAGTAAAATAATTGCACTTTCATTTTTGAGTGAACCCGTTATACTGTATAGGGCATTTGAGCTGCCTCCACAATATTGGCATCACATAGTAAAGAATGTGTTTGTTTTGCAATTTTACTAACTAACCCATTACTCATCATTTGCTTTTATTACAGTGATATGTAACAAAACTGGAAAGGAAGATGTTGCCACCGCAGAGATGCGTACCTGAAATTGTACATCTCTTTATTGCACTTTTATATTTTGAGAATATGCACAATAAATACACTTCTCTTCTGAAATCTGCCTTCAGAATTGTTTAGGAATGTGTTTTTAATATATAACTCATTGACATGTACACAAAACCCCAGCAGATGGCAGCAACAAGCAATTCTTTACTCAAACGTATTGAGAAGTATTTTAAAACCATACTATAGTAAAGTACTTGGATTAATTTGTTGTGGTCATTCTAGATTTGCTGTGGTAATAACTATATTCATATGAACAAATTACTCAAAAGGTTTTTAACAGCTATATAGGCTAATTATGAATCAGCTATTTAATTATATTAATATATACAATTTACTTTCGTAAAAACTATCTACATTTACTAATATTATCTTTAGTGAAATGATAAGCTGTAATATACAGTATACAGTAGTTAATATAGCTTACCTTAGTTTACTTAGTAACGTAGTTTTACATTAAGAAAGTGTATAAATAAAAGATACTTAAGAGTTAAATGCATTTTACTGCAGTATGGTTCAAAAATACTTACTGTAAATTTCTGTGTTATTTTTAACATGGATACTATGTAGTCTTGGATTGTATGATTTAATAAGATATGTTAATAAGTCTTTCATTAAGGTACATCAAATCTTAACTGTAGTGATTTCTGAGGTTATGCCTATTGGAAGACAATATATATATATATATATATATATATATATATATATATATACACATACTGTATTCAGTTTCTGATTTAACATGTATGACTTTCTTATGCAGTTGAATTTCACTCTGGTATTGTTCTAAAAATGTTCTTAAGAATAAATGCAACTGTCTTTGTATTGGGATACATTAAACTATGGATTGTGCATGCTCTTTCCTCTGTTTTCTTTTTCACAATGTCACCTTTACAAATAATGCATCTTTCATGTGTGTTGAATGAGTTCTTTAATAACGATTTATACTTTTAATAAAGATATGAAGATTGTTGATTTCAATGTGTCTTATCAAATAAACATGTTTTTATATATTTACTAGATTATCTGTTTTTTTCACTTTGCTGAAATGTCAACATAACTATTCGATTTAATAATGGTTTGATTTATATTTTATTTATATTTATATGTAGTTGAGAAAAACTTCGTTTAGAAAAATAATAATTATTATAACCGATTTGAAGAACAAAAACCCATCCACCCAGCACTCTACTTCTTACTTTTTGTGAAAAATGCAGACAAATAGTGAGAAATTTAGCAAAACAAACCAGCAAGGTTTAAATAATGAATACCGGTTTATTATTAATATATAATAGTAATAAATATAGAATAATAATGTATAAAAATATAGATAAATAAGGCCGAGTTATGTGCATTTTGTTTATTAAAAATTATAGTTGGCTATGCTGAAATTACCCTAAACCTTTCAAAAATAACTACTAATTCTGTTTTACTACAAACAAGCATGGTTATAGTAGTTAAACCATAGTAGAAACAGTGGTTATACGAATATTAATGTTAATATATTTTCATATGGCTAAATGATGTGACCTGTGATGTAGCTAAGTCAAATAAATAGCAGGCTGGTCTCTAACGTGTATTTTGGAAATCCTTCTCATTCTGTAGTTCAGAAGGAAACAGTGCCACCTTCAGTCTAAAAGTAGTCCTCCACATCCACATGCCTTATGGGATTAATTCTATATGGGGCGTCTGCAGACTTGGATCCAGGCAGTTTTACGACCAAGGCAGTTTTACGCCCCACAGCTTTACGCCCCTGTTGTTCCTAATGCGTTCAGTAGGGGGGATGAAAGATACATGACCACATAATACATTTGAAGTCAACGCTCTCAGATTATTAAATGCCCTGTTAATAAATATAAATAATTTTAATTAGATTACGCTAAATATGAACGCTAGATTAATGTATCATAAAGTGAGTTATAAACTCACTATAAAAATATGCAGAATTGATACACTCACCAAATAATTCCAGATTTGCAAAAGCTCTATTGCAAATTAATTTAGATTCATTTAATTAAAAAAATTAAAAACACAAGTTGTTGGATACTGTAATGGTTAATTGTAGCCAAGCTATACGTTTTCATATAGAGATATGCATTTGTTGTATTGTTTATATATAAATTTGCATTTTGAAAATAACAAAATGATAACCAAACAAAACAGTGTAATTTGGAGTAATGATGTGCTTTGATAAGAATGCAGAGGTATTGTTACAATAAATATTATGAAACAATAAGGGATAAACAATATGATTGCATGTGCAATGCAAACTTCATTGGTAATATATAAAATGTACTGTATGGCTATATGAACAAAAATTAGTAGACCGTTTATAATTGTAAGTTTCTATATGCATTTATAGATATATGATAGTTTAATTGTTTAAACTAGAACAGGATTGTATTATATTGATTGTAATTGAAAGCAATGTGATTTTAAAATTTAAAATAAAATCAATTAAATTTTTTAGATCTGTTTAGATTTATTTCAATATTTAAGAAAGTCAAATTTGGAGGAATAATGTTGTGTAGTTGAAGTGTAGATCTGGCTGACAACCCAGACCATGCAAGTGTATTGTCTAATCTATGAGAAAATATATATCTTTAAATAATTATTAAATATATAATAATTACTCCCTTGCTGAGACAAAAAGGTAAAAGAAAATTAGCCTACATAACACACTTTCTTATGTAGGTTAATGTTATTTTACTCTTTTGTTGATGTAGAACATGTACACATAGTTAGCTAAAATTGAGTCAAAGTAAAACATTGCTGTTATACTACACCAATTTGTTTGTGTTGACATACAGTCATATCGACCTTAATCTAATAAAAAAAGGTTTAAGTTTCATGTTTGCTTCTGTTTTAAACACGTATTTAACATAGATACCTCTTCATCTTGTCGCGTTTGGTTGGGTGTGATAAAGTTCTGGAGGCTTAAAATAATACTGTACTGCCTCCCTCTACTGGACACAACAGGAACAACAGGGGCGTAAAATTGCCTGGGCCGTAAAACTGCTTGGGCCGTAGATCTGTCTGGATCCAAGTCTGCAGCCTCGTTTGTGTAGTATTGTTTACAATATAGCCCAGTAACTGAGGTTAGCCTCATGTTCTCAGCAGTTGTCTAAAAACTGCACAGAAATGGTGTTTCTGCACACCACTCATCTTTATTCAGGTCAAACAGAGGTAAGTGGGTATAAGGTAAAAATGTTTTTATCCTATTGGAACAACATGAATCGAAAACGAAACCTAGAGCATTTTTTGGGAATCGAAACTCTCAAACTGACCCGTTTGTCGTTTCCCCCAGTCTACAGTTCTACGTTCCTTCGTTCGACCATCATACATATTAAAATTTGAGAGAAACTGTTATCACGAGTTTTCCAGGATTCATCTGCTCTCTACTCTGCTGCAATGGCAAGTTAATCTGGAAACGTTGAGGTAAATCAGATTATAAATCACCTTCTTCCCGCACTTTCTTGTCTTTAATCAGTCCAGTATTACCACAATTCTTGAAAGTACTTGCATTTCAGACATGGATTCAAGGCCTGGAAAGTGCTTAAAAACAAACAAAGGTCTTTGTTGTGCTTGAATTAAATTTTAAATTAAACTTGTTTATGGTGTTATTTTAGCAATTGTACCGTGCTACTGCAAAAAAACAGAGCTAAAATTATTAATTTGATTCGTAATTGTACAAGAACTATCACAAATAATGCACAGTTTATAATTTTTTCAAAAACCTATTACCAGTATTGAATTTAACAAAATTTACTTAAGTTCTTTGAGCATGACTGTTACTTTTTGGCTTAGTCCCTTCAATAATCTGGGGTCGCCACAGCAGAATGTACCGCCAACTTATCCAGCATATGTTTTACACAGTGGATGCCCTTCCAGCCACAAACCTATCACTGGGAAACACCCATACACACTCATTCACACACATACACTACGGACCATTAAGCTTAGCCAAATCACCTGTTCCACGTGTCTTTGCACTTGTGGGGGAAACCAGAGCACCCAGAGGAAGCCCACGCAAACACGAAGAGAACATGCATACTCCACACAGAAATGCAAACTGACCCAGCCGGGGCTCGAACCAGTGACCTTCTTGCTGTGAGCCGATTTTGCTTCCCACTGCACTACAACATAATTTCTCTGACATTTTAATGTAAATATTAGTTGTTAGTGAAATGTTAAGTACAGTAAGGACTTCCATGGCACTACATATGCTGGGGGAATTAATAAAAGTACTTGATTTAAAACGAATAGTGCTTTAAAATGTCCATGAAAGTCCTTCAACTTGCTGTTATTAAAAAATTCAAAGATTTTTAATATGAGAAATTCAATAAGCACTCACTTTCTTTCTATGTGTGAATGTGTTTCCTTATAGGTTTAGTGCTTGTGGAATCACAGATGAGGCCTGTTTTGCTCTGGCTAAAGCTCTGACATCAAAACTCTCACACCTGAGAGAACTGGATCTGTCTGAAAACAAACTGGGAGATGCAGGGGTGATGGTGCTCTCTGCTGCACTCGAAAATAATTGTTCTGATCTTGTATCATTGAAGTAAGATCCTTTCAAAAATGCTTCAAATCTTAAAATGAGCTCTCTCCTTTAAGAATATTATGTGTTTGTTTCTCTGGTCAAGTTGTATATAAATTGTGGTTGCTTTATATTTTACAAGCTGAGTGATAATTATCTTGTAAATATTAAAGGGATAGTTCACCCCAAAAATAAAAATTTTGTCTGTCACTCGTCATCCACTTGTTCCAAACCAGTGCAAGTGTCTTTCTTTTTTTTTTTGAACACAAAGGAATATACGCTGAATAATGACAAGAAAAAATAGCCATTGATTCTATAGTGTTGTTGCTCTTCCAATGAATGTCTGTTTTTCTTATTAAACATTCAAAAAACATTTAAAATCCATAAATGTCAAGAAATTCATAAACTTCAAGCTTTGCTTTTTTTATTTTGGGTGAACTATCTCTTTAAGTAAATATATGATAATGCCAATTTTAAATAAAGCACATGCACATTTTTGACCACAAATAGTAAAAAAATATATAGTTATATTATGTGTGAACCAAGTCAGTTCAAGTTTTAGCACAATACAATAACATTAGCTAACATTTTAAGGTCCAAAACCCTCAGGGTAAAATAAATAAATAAATAAACTGGAACACAACATGAGGATTAAAAAAGCAGGATAATTTAATTCAATTCACCTTTATTTGTATAGCGCTTTTACAATGTAGATTGTGTTAAAGTAGCTTCACGTAGAAGTTTGTTGTAAATTGGAACAGTGTAGTTCAGTTTTTTAGTGTTTAAGTTCAGTTCAGTTTAGCTGAGTTCAGTGTGGTTTAAAAATCACTACTGAGAGTCCAAACACTAAAGAGCAAATTCATCAATGCGTAGCTCTACCGACGAATGTGCTGGCCTAATAATATACAGTATGATAGTCAACAACAACGGTCAATTAAATGAAAAAAAAATTTATGTATTAATGTGTGAGATTTTGTTCTGAAAATTCTAATAAGTTGTGTAAAATTTAAGCAGTGTGCGAATTATACATTGACTTATGGGGCGGAGGCCAATTTTTATTCAATAGTAGTTTGATAAAAACATGCTTCAGTAAATAAAATTTATGAATTTTTAAATTACATATAATTTAATGATACAATGTATACGTTTTCAGTGTTTTGAGGGCTATTTTGTGACCATTTTTATTTGTAAATCGCTTTGGATAAAAGCGTCTGCTTAATGACTAAATGTAAATGCAAAGGTTACTGTAGGTTAGACTAAACAAATGATTTGCCTAATTTGTCTTTTTTTAGGCTACATGCATAAACACCCATTTTACAAGAATCATGTTTTTTAAATACTTAAGATAGTTAAGACTAGTTTCAGACTGTTAAATAATAATTATCCTAGCATTAATTGGTGCGATCATGCATTCACAATGGTATAATTTGTTTTAGGGGGATCAAATGTATATTCATATTTTACATTTTTAATTATTAATATTTAAGATCAGATATCAGAGTAAGCTCTGCCTTACTATTAAAGGGCAGACCCCCCCATACATCTTGTTTTGATGTCCTTTAAGGGAAATCAATCGTTAATTATCAATCGTCAAACCCCCCTGTAATTTGCACCCTGGGTTTAAGTATTTTATTATGTGAAGTATGTAATATTGTTTTCTGCAGGATGAATGATTGTGATCTCACATATGAAGGTTGTAGTCATTTGGCTTCAGCTCTCGCATCAAACCCCTCACACCTAAGAGAGCTGGATCTGTCAAAGAATAAGCTAGATGATGTAGAAATGTTGGTGCTCGCTGCTGGTCTGGAAAATTCTTCCTGCAAATTGGAGAAACTGAGGTAAGATTTAACACGAGTGCTGTATGCAATGGAAAATCAAGAATCCCATATTAATAACGTAACCTTTTGTTAAAAGCACAAGTGTGTCAATATGGGGCATATTTCATTAAGTAAATCACAAAATTGTTAATTAAAAGTGAACAGTAAATCAAAATTTTTTGGACAGTGGATTATTTTACACATACAAATTACAGCTTTTTTATATATGCTGTAAATTGGGGGGTTGCTTTTGACATGCTGGTTGTTTTTAAATGTCTTTAAGAAGCTAATGCGTTCTCTAAGAAAATAAATGAATTAATAATTTGCTGAAATTTGGTAAACCTTTTATTGCATGGTATCTTTTCGGTAAAGAACTATTTCAAAACATAACCCCGACTGTTCATGATTTCTTGATCTAAAAATGTAAGGATGTGTAACCAAGATTTAAATGAACCAATTGTAACAATTTCGAATATCTAACCATTAACAAATCCATATCAGTCTAAGGTCTTATAGTTGTTATTTTCTTAAAGCTTCATGTTTTGTTTTCTTTCTTTTCTGCAGGTTGGTCAAGTGTGGTTTAACTGATGAAGGTTTTGTTGTTCTTAATAAAGCTCTGAGATCAAACCCTTCACACCTAAAAGAGCTGGATCTGTCTGAGAATAGCCTATGCTATTTACATACAATGCTGCTCTCTTCTGTATTGGAGAGTCCTTACTGGGAGCTGAAGACATTAAAGTAAGATTATGAATCAAACCTGAGGCAAACCTCGTAAGATGCATCTTAGCAGTTGTCCATTGTTGCACTGGTGATTATTGTGTGCATATTTTGTTTTATTTTGTATTTTTTATCTTGCAGATTGGTGAATTGTAGTTTTACAGAAGAAGGTGGTGCAGCTCTGATGTCTGCTCTGAGATCGAACCCCTCACACCTGAGAGAGCTGGATCTGTCAAAGAATAACATAGGTTACTTAACCATGATGGTGCTGTCCTCAGCCATGGAGATTCCTTACTGGGAGCTAGAAATACTGAGGTAATGTCATGTCTTTGAGCGATACAGTGGATCCAGACGAGCATCAGTATATTCAGATTTTTTATGCTGCCCTTCAAAGGCAAAGTGCAGTAACTATGCAAACACTAAATCCCTTAGTAGACTAAATGTTTACACCCTCCAGCCAGTCATGCTGTGATTATGGATAGATCAGGGGTTACGATTCTCTGAAACGGGACAACATTGAACCAGGATTTCACAAGACAGAATTGATGTCACAAAGCCCAGTTCAAGAGTTCCCACTTAGATATGATTAGCATTAATACTAGGTTTGGCATGCTGTCCCGGGATAGAACACTGAGCTTGGAGAAACTTGAGCACAAAGCTCCCGCCAGGTCAATAAGCATATAAGGGGATCTGAGGTCAGGTAGGTCTCGAGAGCTCCCCATAGAAAATGGAGGAAAAGGAGGAGATGGGGTGGAAGGGGGGATTCTTCTAAAATGAAAATAGAACAGTTGGGACAAATGACAAGTGGTACTCACTGCAGAGCCACTTGGGCAGTGCTGAGCTCCAGCAAGGAACGGGGACGACGACCGGGATCGAGTCCAGGGAACAGCGGTTCCAGAAATTAGGTAAGATGAAAAACAGAATCCGAAAAATAAGTGCGAGAACGCGGCGAAGACGAGGGCTTTTGCTTTTTTTTTTTCTGGATGGCTTTTGCAAACCGTCGCTCGGGTTTAGGGAAGGAGGAAGAAGTGGGCGGCCGGGTCCACAGCAGCCTCTCGCGGATCCGCGAAAACAAAAAACGCTCGAATACGTACCTCCCGGGACGTATCTCGCGGTCCGCAGAAACGTCCACGGAGCTACGTTTTCACAATGAGCCCGGGTTGTTATAGGGGGAAGAGTTGGAGCTCAAGCTCCCCCTCATTTGAGCCCAAGTGGCTCTGCAGCTAGCAGTGTCTTAAAAATGATCCATTTATTGTAAGCTTGGATCACTTTGATTGGATTATTACTGATTACAGATGAGCAGCCAGTCGTGCTCAATCATATCACATGCTCCTCTCAAAATTAGTTTATAAAACTTCACTTCAGGCTCTAAAGTAGGGGTCACCAGACTTGTTTCTGGAGGGCTGGTGTCAGAGATGGGTATAAATGGTGGTCAGAACCAGCTCTAAGTGGGTGGGACTTGAACTTCGAGTGAGTGAGCCTTAGCTCCAAGTGGACTGTCCAAACCTAGAGTTTTTCATTTTTAATGCCTTGTACATGAGTCCAATATTGTGCTTTATGAATGTCTACATCTATCCCAACCCTTAACCCAACATCACAGTAACCTAATGTGTTTTATTAACGTCTACATCTACCCCAACCCTAAACCCAACCTTACAGTAACCTGTTGTGTCTTATGAACTTCTACATCTACCCCAACCCTAAACCCAACCTTACAGTAACCTGTTTTATTAATATCTGCTCCACCTACACCCCCTAAACCCAACCTACTTGTGGTATAAGTCCCTCCCACTTGGAGGTCACCCAACCTACTTGCGCTGTAACCCCTCTTACTTGAAGTCTCTGGGCTGCAGCGAAACCTACTTGCGGTGTCCTGCAGAGTTTAGCCCCAACCCTAATCAAATACACCTGATCAAGGCAAACAAGATCTTACCAGGTATATTTGACACTTCCAGGGACGTGTGTTGAGGCAGGTTGGAGCTAAACTCTGGAGGGACACTGACCAAGATTGGTGACACCAGCCCTAAAGGTTTACTTCGGCCAAAACTGAAAACTCTGGCATCTTTTACTCCTGGTCACTTGTGGCCTGTTTCCACTGAGTGGTACAGTATGTACAGATTTTTACTGGTCACATTTATCAGGCTTGCATTTCCACTGCCAAAAGGGTACCAATGGTAACTTTAATGTTTTAAATGCAACACACTGTATATGAACACATACAGACCCTTACAGTCTTAGATGTATTACCAAATACAGAAAAACTACACACAGCATACATTTAGTCCTTATTTGGCTTTAAAAAAAAACATGCAGCATATACAGAAGCCTCACAGTAAGTGCATAATAGTCCAAAAGGTGATGATAAAAAATGTCAGTTTGTTTATGTTTTAGGTTGCTGGAAGAATCATTTGCTCCTTTGTTTTTTCGTGCATCACTCTTGCGTTTGTTTCTGAAAGGATCAGATGTCAGAAGCACTTCAATAATCACATGCACTTTATTATCATCAGCTCAAGTCGTTTGTTATTTTAAATATAGATGTTCATGCAAGCTCTCTGAAGAAAGTGAATCCGTTCGCGCTTTTAGACGACCTCGTAAAACAAAAACAGGACACGGCAGATTTTATTCTTTTTGGCTTTGTGGCTGTTCATCAAGGCGACGACAAGGTTTGTTTGAGCTCGGGTCGACCATTGCTTGTTATTATATGTATATAGTATTACGTTGTAATGTCACAGCTCAGCTGTGTATTTTAAAATGGCAGTTCCTTTGTTTTCATTCTCCTGCTTGTGTGCGCTAGTGACGTATCTCTGTAAACCAATAGCGTTCGGCTGCACGTCAAGCCCCATCTTATGGTACCCTTTTGTCATGCTAGGTACCCTTTGCAAAGGGAATGTGAAAAGTGGTTCGGTACGGTTCGCTTTTTGGTACCTTTTGACAGTGGAAATTGCCATAAAAGCATACCGAACCGTACCACTCAGTGGAAACGGGCCATTGTTCCAAATCTGTTTCACTTTCTTCTGTTCAACAGTAAATTGGACTTCCATATGATTTTTTTTTCTACTATGGAAGTCAATGCTTTTCAGCTTTCTTCAGAGTATTTTATTTTTATGTTCAGCAAAACAAACTCATAAAGGGTTGGAACCACTCGAGAGAGAGAGAGAGAGAGAGAGAGAGAGAGAGAGAGAGAGAGAGAGAGAGAGAGAGAAAAAGTAAATATTGTAAGATTTCTTTTTTAGGGTGAACAACTTTAACTTAATTTTGAAAAAATGTGTTGTCACTGTACTTTGCCCTTGAACAGCAATGTAGTAAATTCTGGTTCTAATCTTACTATACGAATGAGCGGTATCTTCAAAATCTTTTGAAATAAGTTGCCCTAAACTGAGTGTGTTTCTCCAGGTTAAATGATTGTGGAATCACAGATGATGGTTTTGCTGCTCTCGGTGCAGGTCTTAGATCAAACCCTTCATACCTGAGAGAGTTGGATCTGTCTAAAAATAAACTGGGAGAATTTGGGGTACACATGCTCTCTATTGCACTGGAGATGCCTTATTGTCAACTTGAAACACTGAGGTAAGATCATGAACATGAATCTCAAAAAAAGGCTACTTTGCATTTAGTTTTATAGTTAAGGCAAAGCTGGTTTAATTTTAGGTCAAATACAGTTGTCGCTCATGGAGATTTCAGTTTATTATTCTCTCCGCAGGTTGGTCAGTTGTGACATCACAGGTAATGGTTGGATTGTTCTGGTATCAGCTCTGAGATCAAACCCCTCACACTTGAGAAATCTGGATCTCTCTGGGAATAACCTTGAATGCTTCGAAATAAAGCTGCTTTCTGAAGTATTGGAGAGTCCATACTGTAAACTGGAGACCTTGAAGTAAGATCATGGCTTTGACTGTTGCAATTGAAATTGTTCTCAAAGGAAGTATTTTATTATCATTGTGACACCTAAACTTGCACATTGTTAAGGCCAATTCATTCAGCACAGACACACATGGACAATCACCAGATTACAGCATGTTGTTTCTCAGATGATCTACATCCTAAAAAACAAGCTCAGGCAGATGGCAAAACTGACTGATCCATTAAAAACCAGCAAAGTGTCTGCTGGCATCTGTCAGTGCAGTGTGAATAAGCCTTTAGGCTAAAAGTCTGTCTAATTAGGGTGTTCTATCTGAAATCTCACCAATTAGGAATCATATTCTTGATATGGTTTACAACTGTTTGTCATGCTCAGAAATGTAATAGTGTACTTTCTCTGTCTCTAGATTGCGTAATTGTAATCTCAAAGATGAAGAATGTGTTTCACTGGCATCTGCTCTGAGATTGAAGATCTCGAAGCTTAGAGAGCTGGATCTGTCTGAGAATAAACTAGGAGATTCAGGAGTCAAGGCTTTTTTTGCTGAGCTAGAGGGACATTTATCAAAATTTGATGCTTTAAGGTAAGATTCTCATTTTGAGTGCCACCCATGGTCCCATTTTACATTAAGTGGCCTTATTTTTTAAGTAGATGCATTTAAATCAATCATTTGGTGCAATACACAATACACTATGTACATAAAGTTTTCATATTGTTCTTAACTCACTTTGCTTCGGCTTAGTTCAAGATTTATCACGGGTTATCTACCACCAGTTACTCTGGCAAATGTTTTTTTGAGTGAATGCCCTTCCAGCCGCATCTCTGCATTGAGAGTACACTTACTTGTAAAGCCCCATTGCTGGGAAACACACATATGCTCTCTCAGGCCCTGTTTACAGTAATATATTTCCTTTTAAAAAGCATAAGTTTGGCTACGGTTACATCATCCATCCACACTATCCCGAAGTTTTCTAGCGCAGAAAATTTAGCATTTTGAAAACGCTTATGAGGCTGTTTTTATTCTAAAATGCTGCTGCTCTGTGTCAGTGTTGATGGGGGAAAACAGAAACATCTGAAAATTGAGGCGAGGCTGCAGACATTCGCAATCTGATTGGGGCTTTTTCCTCAATATTAAGTAGCCTGCACACAGTTCAGTCCTGCATCCTCTCCTTGTAAGTTCAGACTTTGCAAGTTTGATATGGACAACAAACTCCCGAGGACACGTCAGGTAAATCTTCAAAGTGAACAGTGTACTGTATAACCTTATTCGCATCACCCTGGCTATGTTGTTTCACTTTCTTAACAATAAAATGAAAACATGATAAAAGGATCTGCCTATTTTCATTCTGATAATAACAACTAAACAGTCAGCAGAAATGTTGAGGCGTTGTGTAGCTACATATTTATATGGCCATCATCTTCACTGCATGCATATTTATAACAAAACACAACCTATAACACTGCTTCCTTTAATTTTCATTGAAAATACGAAACATGCCCTTTCTTTTGCTGAATATCAGTTTAATAATCAATAATGGCCATTATAAAAATATAACGAAGAATAAGTTTATACAATATAGGAAATAAAGGCAAGCAATCAGTCAATATACAGAATCAGTGTACACGGTAACATTAATAAATATATTAACTTATTTTCGCGCTCAGCCAAAACACATTACCTGAGAACAAGTAAAAGATTCAAAGAACCAAAGTCGGGGAATATGTTGTTAGATATACAGTAGACAATAAGATGAATTTAATATTACAGTTAACAAATATTGTGAGATTACATCCAGCGGTAGATCCTTGTTTGACGTGCACAGCGACTGGCCTGACCGCAGTTTCATACGGGTAGATGTGCTCAAAGCATGCTGCAGTGCATGCCAGTGTGTGTGTGTGTATGTGTGTGGTCACGTGATGTGCGTTTTCAGCGGTGTAATGTAGACGGAGAGTTGTTCAGAAACTATGGGTGGAAAGACAGTCTGGAAGCGTATCGTTTTCATTCTAAAACGCAGTTTAAAAACTAAAACATATTAGTGTAAACGGGGCCTCATTCACACACAATAGGCAATTTTAGTTTACCTAATTCACCTACTGTATACTGCATGTCTTTGGACTGTGGATATGTACTAACCGCGTTGTTGTTTTTCTCTAGATTTGTGAATTGTGGTCTCACAGATGAAGGATGTGGTGTACTAGCTTCAGTTCTGAGCTCAAACCCCTCACACCTGAAAGAGCTGGATCTGTCTGGAAATAAAGTGGAAGATTCAGGAGTGAAGATGCTCTCTGATGGACTAGAGGATTATTGCTGCCGACTGGAAACATTAAAGTCAGACAATCTCTGATTATTGCAACTGATTCTTTGTTGCTTTTCTAAATTCTGCTTCATATTAATCTTTATGATACGGTTTGGGTCATACTTTTAAAGAAAGTATGCACAGGAGCCAAGTGCAGATTTCTGATATTAGTTATATAGTATATATATATAACTTTAGTTAGCACCAATTTGGCTGTTCTAGAGTATGACACATAACATTTATTCTGTAGATGAAGTGGTTAAGACAGTGTTAAATGTAATGTGAAAAAATACAATTTTTTTTTAACTAAATCACTCATTATTTGAAAATATACTGTAATCATTGTTCTCGTGGATTAAATCTGGGTTTTATATTACTCTAGATATCTATAGTTAAATGGTTCAAGAGTGTAGTCTCTGAAGGATGTAAATACTGAATAGAGCTGATTGTTGTTCGCTGTGCAGGTTGGTGGGTTGTGGTCTCACAGATGAAGGTTGTGCTTCTCTGGCTTCAGCGTTGACATCAAACTCCTCACACCTAAGGGTACTGGATCTTTCTAAAAACAAACTTTCAGACTCAGGAGTTAGACTGATCTCGACTGGACTGGAGAATCCCCATTGTAAAGTGGAAATCCTCTGGTATGCTGGTTGATGTTATAGTCAGTAAATGAGTGATGTGGGCATGCATGAGTGATGTACAGTAATGGCTAGTTTTTTTTAAGTCAGTTGTTGTTTTCCCTGCAGGCTGGTCGATTGTGATGTGAACGATGAAGGATGTGCAGCTCTGGCTTCAGCTCTGACATTTAACTTCTCAAATCTGCGAGAGCTGGATCTGTCTGAGAATAATCTAGGAGATTTTGGAGTGAAGCTTCTCAGTGCTGGACTGGAGGATCCCCACTGTAAACTGGAGATACTGAAGTACAGTAAAACGCAGTTACAGCCCAAAGCTATATGGACAGAGATCATTGATCTGTTAATTTAAGAAACTTGAGTTACTCTGTGACACTGATGATGAAATAAAATTTTAATAAACTGAAATTAAAAAAAAAAAATAAAGAGAAACAAAGATAAAATTTTTGTTCATCCCATAAGATCAAGCTTGATTTTTTCTAAAATCACCAACTTACTTTGACCACTTTCTGATTTCATTTTACAATAGTAATATAAGTTTTATTAACTCTTTATAGAACAATAAAATAATAAACTGCTGTTTTCTCTCTTTAGGTTAAAAAATTGTGGCTTCACAGATGGAGGTATTGCTGCTCTGGCTCCTGTTCTAGGATCAGATCACTCATACCTGAAAAATGTGGATCTGTCTGGTAACAAGTTTGAGGATTTTGGGGTGCAGCTCCTTTCTATTGCATTTTACTAAACATTCTTGAGGCAACAGAAGAAGTCATTAAGATTAATATTCTAATGAAGCATATTGGCTGTTTATTATTGGTTGTTAATGATTGATTTGTTTTTATTGTATGACTTCTTCCCCACATGCAAAGTGATGACTGGGCCTCAAAGATGGCAGGTTTCTCTTTCGTTTTTGCAGATTTTTTTTACTTTTATCATCAGACTAATTAACTTACAACCAATAAACTGAATCTAGGAAGAGTTAATGTTTAGAGGAAGTGGATTTCATGTAATCATGTACAAGCAAAAGGTGACATTTCATAAACACTGATAGTGATTTGAGATTCATCTGAGCAGTTCTGTCTTTTGAAATAACTCTTCAAAAAAGTGGACCTTACTAAAATAGTTTAGACCTTTATTCTGTGTATTATATGTCTTGTCAACATCTTTGAACGACTTCATTTTAATGTACTATATGAGTACAAGTTTTAACTTTGATAACTTTTTTGCACATTTTTTTTTATATAATTCATTTATAGTAATTGTATAGTTTTTTCATTGTGGATCTGAGATGCAGTTAATGCATGTATTTCTTTTGGAAACAACACACCTAACTGCTCTTTGACCGCTTGTAAAAATATATGGCTCAATAAAAAAACAGCTATAAGGAAATACAGTTCTGTTCTTTTCTGAAAACAAGTTAGACTGCGCAACACAACGACGTCTTTGAAAAGTGCTCAACTGTATATTACTACAGTTAATGCATTATTTTATAAAACAGAACCTCACATTTAACCATTCAAGAGGACTTTCAGCATCATAATGAATCCAAGCAGTCCATATGATTCCTCAGGTGAGTGCGATGAATTTAGATGTTTGCAGTTTGATCTATCAAATTTTAATTAGTGTATATTAGAGCTGCACAATATGTAATGATTAATGTATTTGTTATTAATTGACATTTTTCTAGGGCAACTAAAACCTGTTTCTTATTCATACATCCAAGACAACCTGAAAACTGTTTTATATATCATCACCTATTGCATAACAAGATATTTACTAAACAGTCAAGTTAACAATACACAATATATCGATTTTTTTTTTACTTGTTCAAACTACTTAATTAAAATGAGCTGAAACAACACAGTTCATGAGATTTCATTTGGACAGCTATTTTTCTTTAAGGTTCAATCCACATGAATTTGTTAAAAGTGTTAAGTTAACATAATCAATTTGTGTTGGGACAACATGAATGAGTTGTGTGGAACCCTGCATTTTTTACAGTGTAGTCACTAAGCAATATGAAAATCAAAGTAAATGCATGATGTAAAGAAGGTTCACAATCAATGCTACTGTTATTACATTATCTATCACTTAGGCTGTCAGTCACTTTAATTTAGCTAGGACTGAATTTAAATAGAAGCCATTGATCAAAATGTTGTATTTTTTTATATTTCGCAATTAATTGTGGCAGCTAATGTTGTAATGCCATTCTTTTAAGTTAATTGTGCAGTCCATCTAGAAGTGCCATATTACCACAAGCAGATTGGTGTTCTTTCTAGACGTTTTTTTTATTTGTAAAGTCAATCCCTTATGTTCACTTACAGAGCTGAGGATTCTTCTTTTGGGTCCAAAGAATGATGAGAAAAGTTTAGCTGGAAACACTATCCTGGGCAAAACGGAGTTTGACTCAAAGCAGACTTTGCAGTGTGTGGAGAAACACAGTGAAATCGCTGGAACAAAGATCACTGTGGTTGATACTCCAGGCTGGTGGGGAAATTTACCATTTGAAGAAAACCCTGAACTGTACAAACAAGAAATTGTCCTGAGTGTGAATAAATGTCCTCCAGGACCTCATGTCCTGCTCCTGGTCTTAAATGTGGACACACCGTTTAAACAAAATGAAAAAGACATCCTATGTGATAATATGAGATGTTTTGGTGAGGAAGTGTGGAGGCACACCATAGTGTTGTTCACCTGTGCAGATCTTACGGAAGATAAGACCACTCGACTGTTGGAGAATGAAAACCTCCAGTGGCTCATTGAGAAATGTGGAAACCGATATCATGAGCTTAATATTAAGCACTGGGATGACGGATATCAGGTCACACAACTGATTAAGAAAATGCAGGAAATGGTGGACAGGAACAGAGGCAACCATTATAAAATGAACAGAGATACTTTACAACGTGTGGAGGAGAAGAGGAGAGAACAGCAAAAGAGAGCAGTGGAAAGAAGGATCAAGCATATGCAGCTGAAAGACAAGACAACTACTGGTGAGCGTTCTATTACCACGAACTTTGCTTTTGTTGAAAAGAGAGTGATTGTAATTTCAAACACTCAAAATGGCATCTTCTAGAATAAACAGTAAGTCTCAATTTTCAATTAAAGGAACCAATTATTACCTCTCTCTGAGTTTGATTTATAACCCTCAGGCACATTATGTTATTATTTTGCATGATTTGTACTAAAGTTACCAACTAGCATAGAATGTGTTTAATTTACCATTGCTGTTAATAGTTACTTGGACTGCACAGAAACACAATCTTCACAAATAGTTTTGGATTTTTTAGTTATCTATTTTAAGGGATAGTTCACCCCAAAAAGAAGATGTCCTTACCATTTACTGACACTTATGGTGTTCTGAACTTTTCAACATTTCTTCTTCTGTTGAACAGAAAACAAGATATATTTTGAAAACTGTTGGAAAAAAGCAGCCATTGACATGAAAAAAAAGTGTATTATCAATGACTGCTGCTTTTCAATAATCTTAAAAATATCTTTTGTGTCCATCAGAAGAAACTCAAACAGGTTTGGAACAAGTTGAGGGTGAGTAAATAATGACAGACTTTGCTTTTTTTTAGGACAACTGCCCCAGTAAAGAGTAGTAGCTATACGTTAGTGACAAACTGCCTATTTTGATTGAGTATGCTATATATAGTAACTATTACACCCTGTGTAATATGCAGGGAGATGCACTCACACATACAGAAATTCAAAAACATGAATGTGTTTTCAGATGGAGCATCATTCCAATAGTATCTGGATGCAGCCTTGATGATGCAAGCTGAGATTGCATATCTCACAGATGCAATGTCAGACTCAATGCACTCAATGGAGCTAGTGGCGTCACTGTGAGGGGTGGGGTTAGGTGAGCACATTAAAAAGCATTGGATGCAGCTCAGATTGTACTGCACCAGGTCTATCCAGACCCTTTTCCATCCTTTTGTGATAATGAAAGCAGTTTGCATCACTTCTCAGGGAACTATGGCTGTGTGTAGTAAGTGATGCACGTGAAAATTCCACTTTAATAAGTTTTCACTCCTGATTCAATTTATAACTTCATTCAAGTGTTTGAAATAAATCCTTCTGTGAGATGTTTCTGTGGTCATGTGATTATTAGTCACGTTGAATCAATGAACGCAGTTAAATCTTCTGTTTATAATGCAACACTTTGGGGGTTTCCTGGGTTTTCTGTGCGGGAGCGGACTCTGGCAGAGATTTACTTTACTAAACAAACAACTTGCTTCCCTGATAAAATAGGTATGACAATACCTCAACCTAGTCTGGACCATTAAATTATTTCAAGAGTTCACACTTAGCTGATGATATATTCTAAAGCTTCTTTGGCATGCTATCCCGGGAGAGAGCCCTGAGCTCCCTCCCATTTGCAAGGTGAGAGGGGAGTTTGAGGACAGGTAGATCTCGAGAACTCCTCTGCGGTAGTAGCTAATGAACACATGGTGATTGTTCTTAAGAGATAACTACTTACTAGGTGCATGTCTATGGTGCCGATTTAAGTTAGTCAATTAGCTTAAGTTGTATGTTTTTGGACGGTGGGAGGAAACTAGGAGACCCAAGGGAAACCCATGCAAGAAACGCTGGCTGGCATGGCAAGGACCAGAACCGTTCTTGCTGTGAGGCAACAGTGCTAACAACTGGGCCACCATGCCACCCATCTAAAAAGGCGGAGGAGTAGGGGTGGAAAGGGGGATTCATTCTTTAGAATGAGGGCTAGTATATGGAACTTAGGGTTTTTAAAGTGGCTTAGAAATCGTCTGATTAGTAAATCATCAAATGGATAATTCGGGACCAGACACAAGCAATCATAAGCACGTGCTCCTCTCGAAATTTGTTTATAAATAAACTTCACAAGACAGCAATGCACAAATTATTTGGGTATGTCCACAAACACCTTGTATAGACCAACTGTTCCTGCTAAATTGGCTGCCTCTAAACAATATGCTAATCTAGTTAAGTAAACTGACTTCAAAGGTCTTCAGCCTTTTTAGTTGTATTGAAGATATCCCTTTATATTATTGGAAGCCATAAAAACGAAGCTTAAAGAGTAACAGAATTTAGACCTGTCATAAAAATAAGCATTTATGTCTGCCAGCAGATAATGAACATCACCTCTCAGAGCTGAAGATTGTGCTGCTGGGATATAACAGTTCTGGCAAGAGTTCAGCAGGAAACACCATCCTGGGCAAACCTGCATTTGACTGCAAAAGATTGCGTAGATCTGTGATACAAGAAGGAGATGTTTCAGGAAGACACATCACTGTGGTGAACACTCCAGGCCGAAAAAGAAACTACCACTCGAAATACACCCCCAGACTGTATAAAGATGAGATTGTGTTGAGTCCATCTCACTGTCCTCCAGGACCTCACGTCTTTCTGCTGGTCATAAGAGTGGACGTTTCTTTCACTGAAGTTTACAGAAAGGCAGTAGAGGAGCATGTGGCCCTTCTTGGTCTCACAATCTGGGATCGCATGATTGTTCTCTTTACTTTTGGTGACTGGTTGAGAGACACAAGCATTGAGGTGTTTATCGAGAGTGAAGGAGAAGCTCTTCAGTGGATAATAAACAAATGTGGGAACAGATATCATGTTTTCAACAACAAGAACACAGATGATGGCAGTCAAGTGGCAGAGCTGTTAGACAAGATACAAGAGATGATTGCAGGAAATGAAGAACCCTGTTTTATGATAAATGAAACAAATTTACAAGAAGTAAAAGAAAGGAGGATTAAAATAGAAGAAAGAGCAAAACAACTGCAAGATGAAGTGCAAAATATAAAAGAATTCAGATCTTCAGTAGCAGGTGAGTAGACTGAAAATGTGGTTTATTGTTGCTTTACATGCTTGAATTAAATATAATCAATGGTGATAAATTGTCTTTAAGCAGATGCTGCAGAACTTTCTGAAATGAGGATGGTGTTGCTTGGACCTCACTATTCCAGCATAAGTTTGACAGGAGAAACACTTTTGGGAAGGCATGTTTTGGACAAGGAAATCAAAGTAAATGTAGAAGAAATTGGGGAAGTAGCTGGAAGGAAGCTCACTGTGGTTTGCACACCAGGTTTTGAAAAAGATTACCTCACTGGAGAAAGACTTGAGGATTCTAAACGTAATATCTGGAGAAGTGTGACAGAAAGCTCCTCTGGAGGAACACATGCTTTCATTTTAGTCCAGAGTGTCGACTCTTCTTTTGCAGAAGAAGAGAAAGGTGCACTTGAGAAGATCATGGAGCCTCTTGGTGAAAGAGTCTGGAATCACACACTGGTTCTGTTCGCTGTTGGAGATGAACCGGAAGAAACTCCAATTGAGGTGTTCATTGCAAGTGAAGGTGACATGCTCCAGTGGCTCATTGAGAAGTGTGGGAACAGGTATCATGTCCTCAACTATAAGAACTGTGGTGATGGATCTCAGGTCACAGAACTCCTGAAGAAGATCGAGGAGATGGTGGGAGAAAACAGAGGACATCATTATGAAATTGACAGAGAGACTTTAGAGAAGATTAAAGGAACAATCGCTGTACCTATTAAAAAAGCACATAGTTTAGATGATCCCGTAAACTGTAAGCTGCTGTTTAAGATTTATTAACAATAATTTTTAAGGTTTTATTTGTTTTATTTTATATGCTTTTATTCCTCTCTTTGCAGTTGGTGATAAATCCAGTCTTTCCTCGGGGATAGGTTCAGCATTTGTATCACAGAGATCCCAAGAAGCACCGGGAGAGTCAAGTTCAAAAATGAGTTCTGGAGTGCAGTCTCTTGGGTCAATCCCTGAGTTTGATTGAGAACTTAATTCAGATTAAGAAACACATATAGTTTAACATTGTGTAGTAACGTGCGGTAAAAGCAACAATCATTTCATATACAGAAACAATAATTAATACCAATTTTGAAAGTGGAATCTGCATGAGTATTATGCCAGAGTGCGTGTATGGTCTCATGATGTACATTTAAAGCAACATAGCATAGATAGAGACCTTTTCAGAAATGCTAGATGAAACACCAGTGTGGATGTGGATTGGTTTGGTGAAGTTATTCCCTTGAGCAAGGCACCGAATGGCCAACTGCTCCCTGGGCAGCCCACTGCTCTTGGTGTGTGTTCACAGGTGTAAGTAATTTTTGTATAAAAAGCGTCTGCTAAACACATAAATGTAAATGTCTTAAAACTAAAACACATCAGTGTAAATAGGGCCTGAGTTCAGATCCCTGTAGCTTTTTTTTCAGTGGCAAACAAATAGGCTGAGCTTGATTACCAGCAATAATTATGGGCAATGTAAAACATTACAGTTTAATATGGAATAGGCAAGCAGCAAACATTCACAGGTACAGATTAAAAAATAGCCAACGGTGAGGAGTATCAGCCAGAACAAAATAAGGCTTTGCAATGAGAGTGTGTTTGTGCACTGTTTGAAAAGTCCAGGAATTACAATGACAATTTATTGTACATACAATATTTTAATTATAGAAATATACTTGTACATACATTTTTCAATTTGTATATTTTTAATCTCATTATCTATGTTTATGTCATGTCACTGCCATTCTGTAGCACTGTAGAAGCTTTAGTCACAAAAACTAATTTCTCACATGTAAACATATCTGGCAATAAAGCTCTTTCTGATTCTGAAAAATCAACACAATCTCATGGCAATTCGTAACTTTTTGATTTAGTGGCTAATTAGTATGAATTCATATGATCTAATTTGTACAATTTAGTACGATTTGCTTATCCCCTAATGACGGTTGGGTTTAGGGGTGGGGTTAGGTGCCACACCTCCTTTTTAAAATCGTACAATTCCGCACGACTGAATTCGTACAAATTAGCCAATAAACTGTAAAATACTTACGTTTTCTCGTGAGATCAGACTGGAAAAATAGGGAACAAAAAGTCAATACCCACTGAGCAAGTAAGTGTGACTCCTCTAGTGGTGAGTGAGAATAGAATTATAGGGTAGAATCAAGGCTTTGTCTGTGAATATCTGTGGTATGTGCTCTTTATGTATGTACAGTATCTTTAGTTGCCAGAGCTATATAAAATGTAATTATTTGTTGTACTGTTTAATATTTACAGGTTAATTTTATGGTGGTCTCACTTCAGCTTGCTTTAAATGTGTAATAATGACATCATGCTGGGGTTTGAGTAGGTTATTTTAAAAACCATGCAATATTACTGTATTTCAAAAAGTAATGTTTAGAAATTACTGAATTGTTTATTAACTGATTTAGATATACAGCGAACTGTCATCACATCATTGAGAAGAAAAACATTTTTGATCAGTTCTCTTTATTTAATCCGCTTATATAACTTTTAATAGCTGTTAAGTTGTTAAAAATAGTAGGTGAGCTTATTTAAAAGGTTAATCAACAACTTGGGTACAAAAATGATGAAGAAATTGTAATATGTGATTTGTGGTGGCACATCTGACATCTCACTTTTAATGTATCTTCCTTTTAAACCTGTCTTAATACATTTTTATACTGTTTTTAATCATTTAAATTCTGTGTCATATTTTGTAAAGTGTTTTTAATTACCATTGTATATGAAATGTACTATATAAATAAACCGAGAGGCTGCTTGTAGTCATAAGTTGTTTTAACCCTAACCCCAACCCCCAGTGATGTCACTATAGAGAAAGTGCCGAAAGAAGTCTCTGAACTTGCCCCTCCTTGCTAGAGCTCCGCTGTGCCCATGTGGCTTTGCAGTGAGTACCACTTGAATATATGTATATATTCAATTATCAGCCTGAATTATTAGCCACCGCGGTTTATTTTTTTCCCCACCAATTGTTTAACAGAGAGCAGAATTTTTTCAACACATTTCTAAACATAATAGTTTTAATAACTCATCTCTGATTTATTTTATCTTTGCCATGATGACAGTAAATAATATTTTACTAGATATTTTTCAAGACACTGCTATACAGCTTAAAGTGACATTTAAAGGCATAATTAGGTTAACTAGGCAGGTTAGGGTAATTAGGCAGGTTATTGTATAACAATGGTTTGTTTTGTTCTGTAGACTATCAGAAAAAAAAAGATTAGTTTAAAGGGGCTAATAATTTTGACCTTACAATGTTTTTTTTAAATAAAAACTGTTTTTATTCTAGCCAAAATAAAACAAATAAGACTTTCTCCAGAAGAAATAAAATATTATCTGACATACTGTGAAAATTTCCTTGCCCTGTTAAACATCATTTGGGAAATATTAAAATAAATAAAATTCAAAGGGGAGCTAATAATTCTGACTGCAACTGTAATTTTACAAAGATTTTGAATGTTTCAAAATCAAGTACATTTAGTCCACATTAATCTAGTGAATTGCAGAGTGTTTTTTGTTGTGTTTTATTTCATTAAAATAGCTGTGTTTATTTTTCCATATTAAATTATAAATAGATTTTTTTTATCTCATTAATGATGCTTATTTGCCATGGGCATAGTTAAGATTTATTCTTTTTTTTTGGTCTTTTTAAATTTTTATTCCTAAATAAGTAATACAGTTTTTTTTTTTATTGGAATGTCACATAATTCAAAACCAGGGTTTTCTTTTAAAGCAAATAATTCTCATTTTTAAAAATATTTTTTTGCTAAACCTCAAAAAGATGGAAGATGAAAGAAAGTAGAGTTAATGTATTTATCTTGTATTTACAGCTGCAAAAAAAGTAATACCAAGAAGACTGCTTTTTAATTCAGTATTAGATTATGTGTAACTTATTAATTAAAAGGAAGTACAGATATCAAATGAAAACCACCCTGTAGGTAGCAGCAGGACTGTCTTAATTTATTATTTATAAATGAAAAAAAAAAAAGAACCAAGCATGTGAGAATGGATCAGTGAATAATTGCATTATTGATTGCATTTATAAACGACATTCTTGTAATATGAGAAGACCTAATAAATAATTGTGCTGTAACATTTAATAGATTATAGAAATTTCTTTAGTATCACCAAAGTAAAAATTAATTAATTGGTGAGGAAAAATTAAACTTAATTAATTAATGCAACCATTTCACTTTAACTAAAAGGTTGCAAATACATTATTTATTTCCTTAATGAATAGCTTACTCCTATTGATAACGTGAGGAAACCCTCGTTTTTAAACTCAGAAAGCATTTCGGTGTTGAAAGAGCAAGATTTGGACACAATACCTACAATTTAATAATCTTAAATAATCTGTCGTTGCTTTGTGTCAGCTTTGTAGCCTATCACTTTCACTTTCGCTTTTAAACACTTGAAAGACTGGTAACTGGTAGGTTATTTTGCTTGATATTTGTTCACAGTACATACTACATATGGCATCGTTAACTGTGTAAAACATTTTTGTTGATAACCGTGTTTGTAATTCAGTTGATTAGTCTAATGCCCATGTTTTCTCAAACGTAACTTTAAAAGTTTTAAACAAAACTTAATAGAAAATCGGTACACTTTCCTTGTCATCCGTGTCGTCCATTAGCGCATACATGATCCAATCCGACAGATGACGCTGTCACAAAAAAAACTAGGGTCCTAAAGATGCGATCCTAAAAATGGGATCCTGACCATCCTGACAGTGCAGCCACTCCAGTTGTGCAGGAACACCCTTCTCGAAATTTGAGGCATTTACATGTAATTCCACTAGAGAGAGATATTTCTCAGTTTAACTGCTATAAATAGAAAACGTGAATATGTACACATGTTAAATATTCTTTGCTCGTTTTTATTATTTAATAACAAATTAACAATAAGAATATGATGGTGGTGTAGGAATGAATTGATGCCATTAATTTGATTATTACCATGAATGTATGCAAGATATTTATGCCTTTGCTGTGCTAAATACTTGATACTAGTAGGTTATATATTGTTTTTCAATATATGATACTTACAATTTGTGCACAACTGCCTACTTAAATCAAATTTAAATGCGCCAAACTCGTTTTAAAACAAGCTCATCAGAATTACCTGTTGACGCTAGGTTTGTCATTGTGTGATTTGCCTGTCAAAACAAAACTGCTGTAGGCCTATCACGGTCTTACTTTCACTTTTACTTAAAAAACAAGTTTGTCTTTAGATCTATCCACAGGATATACCACAGAAACCAAACTCCAACATACAGGCCGCTGCAGAGACTGGTAAAGATGATTTTTCATTATATTTATCACTTAACATATTACATAGCGATGCTAACATTACAGACTTTTTTTTGTTAATAGCCGTGTTTGCAAATCAGATGATTAAAATACAGTAAGTACGGCTGTAAACAGGGATGGGCATTATGAGACATGTATTTCTAATACATCTAAAACAAAAATGTTTGTCGTTTGAATTTGATGAGGTTTATAAAAAATGTATTTATATTTTGTACCAAAATACTTCTGGTGTCTTTTTGTAGTTTTTTATTTGTAGTTTATGTACTTTGTACATAAAAAGTCGACACAATAACAATATAAAAATGTGGCCTCTGATTGGTGCTTTCTCGGTTGGCTAAGCTTGAGATCAAAACAGAAAATTGATTCATATTGAAGGTGGTAAATCCTTGGAGTATATCAAGAAATTAACAGACCATTAGGGGTACAGTAGATTCAGAAAGTCAAAAATGATTGAAAATACATTGCACAATGCTAAATATAAAATTGCAGTATCAAGGATGGGCAGTATTCTTGATACATGTATTTCAAATGCATATTTCTTATACAAAATATGTGTAATTTGTATTTGATAGGGTTGATGAAAATGGCTTAATATTTTATATCAAATTATTTACTGTCTTGTATTTTTTTTAATGCATTGCAAGAAGTCTACAGTATATGATGGCATCTTAAAAGTTAAACCTCTGATTGGTGCTTTGTTAGTTATTTACCTAAGTTTGACATCAGAACAGAAAATTGATTCATTTTTAAGAAGGTGGTCAATATTTGGACTATGGATGGAAATTATGCATCACATATAAAGAAAATAACAGGTCATTGGCATGGGGTAGATTCAGAAAGTCAACAATCATTCAAAGTAGTATACTGCACAATGCTAAATAATATATAATGACAGTATTAGGGATGGGCAGTGATACATGATACATGTATTTCAAATACATATTTGGAATGGATGGCAATTATGCATCAAGAAAGTAACAGAAAAATGGTGAGGGTATATTTAGAAGCAAGTCAACTATCATCAAAAAGTAAAGAGTTTATTTACACTTTTTTTTTTGTTGTAGTTTTTAGATATCATGGTTTATGTTGTGGGGTTTTTTAGTAGTTGAAAAAAATATTCATTTAGGCATAGCACCCTTTTAAATATAAGATTGTTAATAGATTGAATAATCATTGAACAGAGATGATGGGAATTTTACTGGCCACACTATGGCCAGAAAGTATTCAACACTCAGATATAGTAAGACTCATGGACTCATCTGCATTAAATGTTGACTGCCATCAAATTCACAATGCTTAGAGATTGAGGTAAAGTTGTTCAGTGGCAATTTGTGAAACTGTATTTTGACTAATCGGTCTGAATTCAAATGCAGGTGAATTCAAAACAACATTAGCACTATTTCTTTGACCGAGAACTATGTGGTATTTTGATATAGTTATTGACTTCTAATATGATTTCACTATTTAGAATTCGCAACAAATACTTTCCTAAAATTTTAATTTTATGAAGAAAGTCTGAATACGCCAATATAACCAACTTTATCTCAGTTGCTTAGGAACAGTTTAGGTTTTATGTTGTAGAATAAAGCCAATGTTTTTTGTTTCCCAGATTGGTAATTAGGTCATTGTCATAAGCAACGTCTATATCAATAGAGTGTTTTACTACAATATTGTCAATAAAATCTGTCATGTCATTTCAGTAGGCTATTTTAATAATCTTGTTTCCTTGCAGTACGTGCTAGATGAATACAGTGTATTATAATTAGGGTAATGTTGATTTTATATTCTACATTCAGATTTTCTCTTTAATACAATTTCAGACAAATATTCTTTGCAAATTCTAAATAGAGAAATCATATTACAGCATTGAATATTATACTAACAAACAGACTTGCTTATATTTTAGTAAGTAAATAAAGAATATGATAACTTAAGTTTAGCTTTGATGATGATCAAATGCAAATACTACATTTCTATACACCAGGGTGATGCGGTGGCACAGTAGGTAGTGCTGTCGCCTTACAGCAAGAAGGTTGCTGGTTACGAGCTTCGGCTAGGTCAGTTAGCATTTCTGTGTGGAGTTTGCATGTTCTCCCTGCGTTCGTGTGGGTTTCCACCGGGTGCTCAGGTTTCCCCCACAGTCGAAAGACATGCGGTACAGGTGAATTGGGTAGGCTAAATTGTCCTTAGTGTATGAGTGTGTATGAAGGTTTTATTCTGCTAAATTGTTTGTGGTGTATGAGTGTGTATGGAGGGTTCATTCTACTGTTGCAACCCTGGATTGAAAAAGGGAATAAGACGAAACGAAAATGAATGAATGTATTCACCTTTTGTAAAAAATTAACGCTTTAAAAGAGAATTTACAAACCAAGTGTTTCTGATACAGGTCAATAGGGCTGAAAAAACTCTGGATCCCCAAAGTGATGCTCCATTCAAGCAAGTGAGAGACAAAGTTTGGAGACAAAGGACCCTAGGAACACGAGTATAAACAATGTAGAAAATTTATGTGGTGATGGTTTAATGACAGATATAATAACAGGCAAGGTCTTACATATAAAACTTTTCTAAATGAAGTGCAAATTCATTTTTCTTAAAGCTCAATGGAGACGGAGGGTCCAGACTCACCAGAGCCAAGCTGTGTGTCCTTAAGAAGTGACCATTCAAAAGCACATCATGTGCTCTTCAAGGATGAAGACCCCTTTGAATACAGGTATTTAAAAACGATGGGTTATAAATGTAATACTGAAGCAATGTCTGTCTTCTAATTATATTATCTCAGTATTAATATTACTGACTGTCAACATACTAAAAAGAGATGAGTTAGCCACTCTGAGTGTCAGTTTTCATCACTCATTTTTTTAAATACTGTCGAAGTAAACCGTTCACCCACTAAAAATAAATAGGGTGAAAACATCAGCTATGTTTCCATTCAAAAATGTGAATACATTTTCAGTCAAAAAAAAAAAAATTCACTTCCTGATTAATTGGAGCCAAATATCAACAGTAAAAATGGAATATGCTGCTGAAGAATACGCTGCGTAAATCTTTTATTTTATAAATTACTTGTTCCTCAGAAGACAAATGCCTACATGCAATGAATGCAGAGTGGTGTTTAAAGGCATGAGACACAGAGCGCCGACGCTCTTGATTTTTAATGTTTTTATTTTGTGTATAAAATATGTTTTACCTCTTTAAAAAGCAATGGAGAGAGTCAAAGTCTTCTCAAACAACCACACCATTTAAAAAGACTGATGAGGAAAAATGCATGTGTCTGTATAAATTAGAGCAGTATTACATTAGTTTAGGTCACAAAACATGCTATTAACTGGCTTATTACCTGCCTATTTGTAAGTTCTATTTATGAGTAGTTATAAAGTCTGAACTTATTCTGCATCCATAATCCCACCCAAAACCTAAACCCAACTTCTATTTTACTATTAATAAACAGCTAATTAGTAGTTTATAAAGCTGGTAGTGTTAGCTAATGGTGTGTTAATACTGCAAATTGCCACTCTTTATTAACTATTACTTCTTGGAGACTTTATTAATTAATTTAAGGGAATATCTGCATTGTTAGGCTGTCTTTAACCCTACAATTTCTCGTCAGACTCCCTAAAGATATATACACAAGTTTATGATGGCCTTAGTCACCTTCAAATTCATGTAGCTCTTGAATGTAGCACATTAATGAACACTTTATCAAACACTAATGCAGTTTATATTTGAAAATGTATCAATTTGAATCTAAAAGTTATTCCATCTGCACATGGCCATACGGATATTTACAGAAATACACTCCTTTGAATGAGAGACTGTGGCATGGTGGCTCAGTCGTTAGCACTGTTACCTCACAGCAAGAAGGGTGCTAGTTTGATTCCTGGATGTGTCATTTGGCATTACTGTGTGGAGTTTGCATGTTCTCCTCATGTTTCCTCCGGGTGCTATGGTGTCCCCCATAGTCCAAAGACATTTGTTATACGGACATGTGGTATTGGCCGTTTTAACAAATGCTGCAGTTAAATTGTCAAAACAAGCATTTAAAATAAAAGGTTTTCTCATGGCACATAATGACTTTTTATGGCAGTGTATAAATTTGCAAAAGTTAAATAAATATTTGGGATAGATAAGACATTAAGTATTGGATTAAAACATAAATAGTTTGAATATTGTTAATTAAAATTTACAGTCTTTGATGACTACATCCATTTTCACTTATATTGAAAAACCCCCGCTCTGGGTTTTAAAGCTGCTTCATAAACCGGTTTGTCTGGAATGTATTTTTGACCATTGTTCTACTTTGTGATTGTAGAGATAAGGGTTGTTTTGCTGTGAGAGTTATCAGACATAGCTGTGAGTGCATGAAAATTCAAAGTTTAGAATTGCTTAACAAAATCCCGGGGGACTGACTTGTCTCCTGTTGCTGGACCAGAGAAAGTATCTTTGGCAACAAATCAGGTTAAGACTGAAATTCTCTTCTTAAAAATATTGCTTTTAAAAAGTAAGATAGACATTATGTAACAATACATTGTCCAGGACATTGTAACATTCTGCATATAAATTGTTCTTATTTGGGGTGTATTAGGTTTTATTCGTTAGCATTTTTCTAATGAAAAATAAACTTTTTAGTATGTGTATTTGTAAAGAAGATCCTACCTATGTGACCATAGTTTTACTTCAATGCCATGCTTAGACAATGTTTAGTAGCACTTTGTGGTTATAGTTCAACTTTTTCTGTTTTTTTATGATCTACATAAGCAAAAGGAAAATGGTTCTGACCGAAATACCAAATGCTGTAAAAGTATGTAAAATAAAAATAACATACTGTAAACTATTTTGAAATTGTTCAGAAGTCCCACTATCAGTTCATCTGTCCGATTACTGTACCATGATGTACTGTGAATGAACTTGTTTGGCGACATGTTTTCATGTGCTTTGACAAAAGCAACAAGTTTTAAGATAACTTGTTTGCTTAAAACATTAAAAAGGAAACTGCATGTTTACACAATTAAAATGGGTACAATTCTATATGTTCACATTAGTAACAGCATTTTAGATTGACATTTAAGTGTCTCGAAATGTCCCGTTAACTGTGTTCACATGTTGTGCTGACAATAAATGCTTTAAACACAATCTGTATGAACATGCGAATAAAGTCAAAGCCTTGTGACTGTCAACTGTAAACATGGCCACAGTGACTATAAAGAAAATAAAGAGTGCAAACCCAAAACCAGTACATTGTACGAATACATTTGACATGGCAAATGTTCATCTGAGATGTGATTCCATCCATCAAATCATCCTCAGCCTAAACAAAGCGCTTTCTCATCACCCAAGTTAAGAACGGAGCATTTAAGTCACATGTAAATTACAATTACAGCACTAACAAAAGCTTTTACTGATCCCCAGTAAATCATTGTTTTTAAGGCTTTCTCTGTTTTAGCATTAAGTAATAAAACTAAAGCCTCCTTTCTTCACTTACATTATAAAATGTACACATCAATTTTTATTTGACATTTGTAAATTTGTATTGTTTATGTCAATTGTATATTCTGCAGTAACTGGTTCTGAAAAGCAAGAACATTTATTGAAATAATGTTATATTCTGTTTCACTGAAGCTCAGGGCAGACAGGTAGATCTTCTCCAACTCCCAGCCATGTGTCCTTGGCCAGTAATATGTCAATCAATCAGCCTTTGGAATTTAAATCATGCAGGTAAATGTTTTATATTTATAGTAATTATCCTTTCTTCTCTCATGCTTTTTTTTTATAATGTACTGTAGAGAAAACTGAAAGATTTATAAAAAGGAAGGAAATTCTATAGGTCTAATTCTATGGGAAAATTATCATTTTAAATTAGTGGTTCAGAGATGGTGGCATTGTGGCTCAGTGGTTAGCACTGTTGCCTTATAGCAAGAAGGTCGCTGGTTCGAGTCCTGGCTGGGTCAGTTGGCATTACTGTTTGGAGTTTGCATGCTCTCCCTGTGTTCGCGTGGGTTTCCCCCCCAGTCTAAAGACATTTGGTATACAGACGTGGTATTGGCCTTAATGTATGTGTGTGAATGGAAGGGCATCCGCTGTGCAAAACATATCCTGGATAAGTTGGTGGTTCATTTTGCTGTGGCACCCCATGATGAATAAAGGGACTAAGCCAAAGGAAAATTAATTAATGAATGGTTCAGAGCTTGTATTAAATTGGCAAGATCACTTGATGTCAGTAAACGACTCTTTTACATTACATTACAACTGTTTAGAAACATTTAAAAACATCAGTGCTCTATTTGGGGGCAATCTATGTAATGCAGAAAAGTCCATTTGAATCAAATAGGTTCACTTAGATCGATTCACAGTGATGAATCACTGAACAAGTTTCATAGTTTGTGATTCAAGATCAGTTTTATTTGTTTTAATTTTCCTGAGACTTTTGCAAAACAAAAAATATATGCCTGAGAATTGATCAAAGAATTCATATTTGATAAGTTACTGTGCGATCACACCGAAGGCGACGAAAGCGTCAAAGTTTGTTCTGGCCGCCCTGGTGAAAATGATGTCTGCCTTTACTGCTCCGCCAGCGAGAGTGTAAAAAAATCGCTACATTGATTTTATATTTAAAGGAACCGTTGCAGCATATCAACAAAACAGTTACATTTCTGCATAAAAACATGCTTTCTAGCCTGACATTTTTACCAATTTTCTTGCGCGTTGTGCGTTTTTTTTTTTTTTATCAAATTCATTTTGTCACTTTAGAATTACAAGGTTCTATCTGACACTTTTGTCAAAATTTTGAGTTATTGACATATTCTTAAAGAGTTATTGACATATTGTTATTAAATGACATCTTATTTACATTATGGGATGTTTTTACATTTTAAGACTTTTAAAAAAAAGTTACACACATATTGTTTGCTATGGAATGCAAAAACTTTGAAGCTCAATATCTCAAAATCATTCAGATTGCAGATTGAACTTTATAATTCCAGGGTGACGATATAACAATGGAAAATCAAGTTCCACTATCCAAAATGTCCATATGTCTGAAATAATGTGAAGCTGTTAAAGTTAGCATGAGATTACCATTTTTTAAAAGAAAAAAAATATAACATTAATGCACAATATAACTCGCCAGTAACTTTATGTTCCTGTAAGAAAACATTGCAAATATTTGGAAATTTGGCGACTGTAATATTCAAACTCATGAGAACAATTGTGGTCGGAACCAAAGTTCACAGGACATGCTCTCTAGGCTCCTCTCAAGAGGTGGACTTCTACATTCTGATTGCTCGCCACTTACACCGCTGGCTTCTATTGAAAAATGACTGACCTCTGACTACCTTGACCCTCTCGCTGCTTTCGGTGTGAATGCACGGTAATAATTTCCATTGTAATGCATGCTCTGTCTTTGAAACTGAGAATCATTTTGCGAAACAATTAGCAATTAGAAGCTTTAAAGTTTCTCCAATCAATACAGAGAGGCCACATCTAGATCTTTTATTTGTCTAAACTCTAGTCTAAAGCATTGACGTGATGCTAATTCCTAGGTCAGAGTTCACCAAGATCTAGAGCGAAACTTCAACAGTATTTAGATGCAGACCTGCATATGCAGAATGCACTCAATGTAGCTAGTGACGTCACTGTGAGGGGTAGCGTTAAGCCTGGTTTATACTTCTGCGTCGAGTGATCAGCCTGACCCACGGCGCAGGCTCTGCATCCACGCATAGGCTGCGCCATAGGATACGCGTGCGCTTGATGCAGAAGTATAAATCAGCCTTTAGGAGTGAGGTTAGGTGTGCACATTAAAAGCATTGCATGCAGCAAGAAACTTGCATTTCTGATGTAGCACATTCATGTGCATTTGAATGTAGGTCAATGGGGTACAAAGGTAATCATTTGTGTAGTTTTCTTTCATTTAAATTCCATTACCGATAATAAAGAGATCAACGATATAATGTTACAGTTTTACAAGCGTCTCATTGATTCATATATTTAAATAACTAAATTAGCTGTTGTGTGAATAATTGTTTAAAATGTATTCAAGAGTAACAAGTTCTGTGTTGATTTTCCAGTAATACCTTACTGCTGAAAGAAATTCAAGAAGCAATCCAATCAGTCCTAAGGATAAGGTTTCAGTGTTTGCATGAAGGATTATCAAAACACAGTGTCCTCATACCTCTCAATGACATCTACACTGAGCTCTACATTACAGAAGGGGAAGGTGGAGAGCTTAATAATGAACATGAGATCAGATGGATTGAAACAGCCTGTAGGAGGGCATTGACAGAGGACAGACCAGTTAACCTGAATGATATCTTCAAACCATTACATGGACAAGACCGACCCATCAGAACTGTGCTGACTAAAGGAGTCGCTGGCATTGGAAAAACAGTTTCTGTGCAGAAGTTCATCATAGACTGGGCTGAAGGAGAAGCAAATCAGGACATATGGTTCATTTTCCCACTTCCTTTCAGAGAGCTCAATTTGCTGAAGGACCAATCATTCAGTCTTAAAGGTCTCCTCCAGTATTTCATGAACATAGAACTTGATATCTCTTTACATGAAGGTAAGATCATGTTCATCTTTGATGGTTTGGATGAGTGTCGTCTGCCTCTGGATTTTCACAACAATGTGAAGTTGTGTGATGTGACTGAATCAGCTTCAGTAGATGTGCTACTGACGAACATCATTAGAGGGAATCTGCTTCCCTCTTCTCTAATCTGGATCACCTCCAGACCAGCAGCAGCAGATGTTGTCCCCTCTAAGTGTATACATCGAGTGACAGAGGTACGAGGCTTCAGTGACCCTCAAAAAGAGGAATACATCAGGAAGAAAGTCAGTGATCAGACTCTGTCTGACAGAATCATCTCACACCTGAAGTCATCCAGGAGCCTCTACATCATGTGCCACATCCCAGTGTTCTGCTGGATCTCAGCTACTGTTCTGAAGAAGATGCTGAGTGAAGCAGAGAGTGCAGAGATCCCCAACACTCTCACTCAGATGTACACACAATTCCTGATGCTTCAACTAAGAATAAAAAATGAGAAGGCCTATGATAAGAAGAGTAGCGATATAGACATAGTTCTCAAACTGGGGGAATTAGCTTTTCAGCAGCTAGAGAAACTCAATCTGATTTTCTACAAGGAAGATCTTCGAGAGTATGGCATTGATGAGCAAGAAGCATCTGTGTACTCGGGACTGTTCAGAGAGGAATCAGGAATGTTTCAGGGCAAAGTCTACAGCTTTGTTCATCTGAGTGTTCAGGAACATCTTGCAGCTTTATATGTGTACCTTTATTTTGTGAATGAAAACATAAACAAATTAAACCAACCAAATTTTCTAACTAGCATCCTAAAATGTGTTCCAACTGTATTTGATGTCTATCAGACAGCTGTGAAAAAAGCTCTGCAGAGTACCTCTGGACATCTGGATCTGTTTCTTCGCTTTCTACTGGGTTTCTCACTGGAGTCCAATCAGAATCTCTTAGGAGACCTACAGGTGCAGACAGAAAGCAGCTCTGACAGCAGAGAGCAAATAGTTGGGTTCATAAAGGAGAAGATCAAAGAGAGTCCTCCTCCAGAGAAGATGATCAATCTGTTCCACTGCCTGAATGAGCTGAATGATCATTCCCTAGTGGAGGAGATACAGGATTTTCTACAATCAGAGTCTAGAATAAATATGAAACTCACAGCTTCACAGTGGTCAGCAATGGTCTTTGTATTGCTGACTTCAGGACAGAAACTAGATGTTTTTGATTTAAACAAATACATCGGAACTTACATCTTGCCAGATGAAAGTCTTCAAAGGCTACAACCAGTGCTTGCAGCATCCAGAACCGCAAAGTATGTCACTAAAATATAATAAAAGTATATTTTACTCCTTTTTTCCTTTTAAGTGCTTTTATTTAAGTCTAAAATAAAGATTTGTGTCATTCCAGAAGTCATCTTCCCATCTGTTGTACCTTGCCTATATACACAACTTATATATAACAAGACCTTTTTAAATCTCTTTCAGGCTTTGTGAGCATAACCTGACAAAGAGAGGCTATAGTGTTTTAGTGTCTGTTCTTACCTCCAAAACTTCATGCCTAAGAGAGTTAAACCTGACTAGGAGTGCTGTAAATGATTCAGGATTAAAACTGCTATGTTCTGGGCTGGAAAATCCTCAATGTAAGCTGGAAACACTGAGGTACAGTAATTCATCTTTTTTTCTTCATTATGTTTTTGTCATTTTTGTTTTGATTTAAATTATTCACTTCATTTTTGTCATTGATTAATTTTGTTACCGACCTATCAGAACTGTGCTGATCATCCAAATCACAAAAAAAATCTGCAGAAACTCGCATCTGGTCGAAGCCCCTCCCCCAGAGTATCGTCAGTCTATAGCGATCGATGATTGGCTCTTATACTAGAAGGCGTAATTTATTCACCATATAGGAATCGATGATTGGCTCCTCTACTAGAAAACGAAATTCATTCGCCATATAGCGATCGATGATTGGCTCCTGTACTAGAAGGCGGAATTTAATCCCCATATAAGGATCTATGATTGGCTCCTGCACTAGAAGGTGGAATTGATTCACCCTATAAAGCTCGATGATTGGCTCCTGTACTAGAAGGTGGAATTTATTCACCCTATAGAGCTCGATGATTGGCTCCTGTACTAGAAGGCAGAATTTATTCACCACATAGGGATGGTTGATTGGCTCCTGTAATAGAAGGCGGAATTCATTCACCATATAGCGATCGATGACTGGCTCCTGTACTAGAAAACGGAATTCATTCAGCATAGTGTATAGCGAACTATGATTGGCTCCTGTACTAGAAGGCGGAATTCATTTGCCATATAGCGATCAATGATTGGCTCCTCTACTAGAAGGCGGAATTTATTCCCCATATAAGTATCTATGATTGGCTCCTGTACTAGAAGGTGGAATTTATTCACCCTATAGAGCTCGATGATTGGCTCCTGTACTAGAAGGTGGAATTTATTCACCCTATAGAGCTCGATGATTGGCTCCTGTACTAGAAGGCAGAATTTATTCACCACATAGGGATGGTTGATTGGCTCCTGTAATAGAAGGCGGAATTCATTCACCATATAGCGATCGATGACTGGCTCCTGTACTAGAAAACGGAATTCATTCAGCATAGTGTATAGCGAACTATGATTGGCTCCTGTACTAGAAGGCGGAATTCATTTGCCATATAGCGATCAATGATTGGCTCCTCTACTAGAAGGCGGAATTTATTCCCCATATAAGTATCTATGATTGGCTCCTGTACTAGAAGGTGGAATTTATTCACCCTATAGAGCTCGATGATTGGCTCCTGTACTAGAAGGTGGAATTTATTCACCCTATAGAGCTCGATGATTGGCTCCTGTACTAGAAGGCAGAATTTATTCACCACATAGGGATTGTTGATTGGCTCCTGTAGTAGAAGGCGGAATTCATTCGCCATATAGCGATCGATGACTGGCTCCTGTACTAGAAAACGGAATTCATTCAGCATAGTGTATAGCGAACTATGATTGGCTCCTGTACTAGAAGGCGGAATTCATTTGCCATATAGCGATCAATGATTGGCTCCTGTACTAGAAAACGGAATTCATTCAGCATAGTGTATAGCGAACTATGATTGGCTCCTGTACTAGAAGGCGGAATTCATTTGCCATATAGCGATCAATGATTGGCTCCTCTACTAGAAAACGGAATTCATTCGCCATGTAGCGATCGATGATTGGCTCCTGTACTAGAAGGCAGAATTTAAAAAAAATCTTTTTATTAAAAAAAATAAGAGTTACATGTCTTTGGTAATACTCATCAAAATCGCCATAATATAATATAATTAATGATATCATTTAATATGAATAATAAAATTATTTTGAGTTTTAAATGCTGAATGGCTTTGCTGTGGTATGTTTTACTGTATATAAGGGGATTTCGATGGTAATTTTATTCTTTGTTATTGACTAAATTTATTAGGCTATTTTTGCGTGACAGAACTTGGGACAGTAAACAGAGCTAAAATACTGTCTCAGAAACCATGGGATGTCAGATCACCCTAGATGCCATACGTTAATAGAAAATGTAATATATTAGTAATGTTTCAAGCCCAATATTAGAAAAAATGTACCACAATGAACATTGTGGTATAGTCTTAAAATTTTCTTGAATGATGAACCCCTTGTTTTTTTGTTTTTGTTTTTCAGACTGGAGTTTTGTGGTGTTTCTGATAAAGGTTGTGACTTTCTGGCATCAGCTCTGAGATCAAACCCCTCACATCTGAAAGCACTGGATCTCTCTGGAAATACATTGAATTTCACTGGATTGAAAAATCTTTTGGCTGAATTTCAGAAGCCTCATTGTAAACTTCAGAGACTGTGGTGAGATTACTATAGCTATCCCATATCCCAAATCCCATATATATATATATATATATATATATATATGTATGTATATATATATATATATATATATATATATATATTGCAATATTATTACAATTTCACCAGATGACATAATACCGATTTGGAGAGAATTTATAACATTAGATTGATTGGGCGTATTTATGCAGTGGGAGTGCATTTCTATAAAATCTAATAAGCAATCTATAAATACAATCAAGAAAAAGACAGAACTAAAATAAACAGTGTTTTATTGTTTTCCGGGTCTAACCGTAATCAGGTACAGTAACTGAATAATAGAAATAAAAATAATTCAATAAAATTAATTGTTATTAATGTTACAAATATATTATGCCTGAATGCTTTTACAATCATTATGCAATAACAGGCCTCAAAAACACATGCAAATGATAAATTATAAAATAAACTCAACATTGCATATCCTGCGATGTGACTATTGTGAATGATCACATTGCGATATCGATGCTGAAATGATGCTACTTTATATTTAACATTACCTAATGTACCTTAGCTAAGAGATATCATTAATTATTCTTGACGTATGAAAATCTTTATTTTTTAAAATAAACCTTATGGCATTTTTTTGCACAGTTTGAGACTTTGTGGTCTCACAGATGTAGGTTGTGATGCTCTGGCTTCAGTTCTGAGATCAGACCCCTCACACCTGACAGAGCTGAATCTGTCTGGAAATAAACTAGGGGATTTGGGAATGAAGCTGCTCGCTGGCGGACTTCAGAATCCTCACTGTAAACTACAGATATTGAGGTAAGGTTATTTCAGACAATTATAAATGACAATCACTGAAGAATGAATGACCTTGTTTTTTCTGCAGGTTGGGAGACTGTAGTATTACTCATGAAGGCTGTGCAGCTCTGGCTTCAGCTCTGAGATCAAACCCCTCACACCTGAGAGAACTGGATTTGTCTGGGAATAAACTCAATAACGCTGGTGTACAGATCCTGTCTGGTGAACTGGAAAATCCTGACTGTAATCTTGAGATACTCAGGCAAGATGAGCACTCATCACTTTTGTAAAAGAAATGGTTCACCCGAAAAGGAAGATTTATCCACTAATATTTAATCACCTGCATGTGGTTTAAAACCTTTATGATTTTCCTTTTTCTGCTTAACACAAAAGAAGATATTTTGAAGAAACGTAAAAACTGACTTGATTTGAAGGAGTAAAAAATACTATGGAAGTAATGGGTTACAGGTTTCTTACTTTCTTCAAAATGCTAAAAGTCTGCTAAAAGTCTATTATAGTGGTGTAACAGATCACAAACCTCACGGTTCAGATCATGTTAGGTTTTGGGGTTTTTTTTGTCACGGATTGGATTATTTTTCGGATCAGCCAAAAAGGGGAGATGACAAATGTAATTTGATTTCCATTTATTACAATGGGCGAGGCAGTGGTGCAGTAGGTAGTGCTGTCGCCTCACAGCAAGAAGGTCGCTGGTTCGAACCTCGGCTCAGTTGGCGTTTTTGTGTGGAGTTTGCATGTTCTCCCTGCCTTCGCGTGGGTTTCCTCCGGGTGCTCCGGTTTCCCCCACAGTCCAAAGACATGTGGTACAGGTGAATTGGGTAGGCTAAATTGTCTGTAGTGTATGAGTGTGTGTGTGAATGTGTGTGTAAATATTTCCCAGAGATGGGTTGCGGCTGAAAGTGCATCCACTGCGTAAAAACTTGCTGGATAAGTGGGCGGTTCATTCCACTGTGGTGACCCCGGATTGGTGAAGGGACTAAGCCGACAAGAAAATGAATGAGTGAACGAATGAATGATTTATTACAAAAACAATTGCAAGAAACTTTTGGTTTTAACAAACAGAACTTAGAAGCTGTAATTGTAATAAAAATAAAATGAAGAAATGATCAGCAGAATACAAATAAAAAGTAAAATATTCAGTACTGTGAAAAAGTCACTGTTCTACTACGGTTGCTGATAACGCTAAATGTAAAAATCTAACATTATAATTTGTACAACCCATATTTATTTTCAGTCTCATTTTCAATAAATGATTCAATTATTCACTCCTATTTTTTTATGGCTGGTTAAAAATGCCATTGCAACTTACAATTTTCATTTTTGAGTGTGAGTGGTTATATCTAAACTATAAACTGTTATCCCAGTACTTCTGTAATGGATTGTACTAACTCAAAAGACTAAAAACTGAACCTCATTCTTGATTTTTGCCTTTTTTAGATTTGAATGCAGTGATTCGAAGGATTAATAAGCATTATTATATTGTGTGGCTGTTGAGATCCTGATTTTTTGATGATTAATCGTGCAGCTTACACTAAATGCATTAACGCAGGCTAAACAAGTAGTGACAGAAAACACCTTTAATAACCTAAGAAACCCACCACATCCCGAATAACCTACCACAACTTCTTCTGTCATCATTATATTTTACAGGAAAGCCTAAATGCTTTCATACATGTGATTCGAATGATGTGAGAGGCGATCTCTCTGTGATCGTTACAAATTTAGGATTAATCTACAAAAAAAAAAAAAAAAAAGTTTTATTTAACGGGTCACGTGTGTTCTGAACCATGGGTTGTGATTCATATGAATCACAGTTAAACCATGATCCGTTACACCCAGGATGACAGAATTATAATTTTTGAGCAAACTATCACTTTAGGTAAATTTTTTGTGCTAAACGTAGCGACAGATATGAGTGGCTCATTCTCTTAGCAGGTTAGAGAATTGTGATGTCGGCGAAGAGGGGTGTGCTGCTCTGGCTGAAGCTTTAAAATCAAATCCTTTAACTCTGAAAGAGCTGGATCTATGCTGGAATAAACTGGGAAACTCAGGGGTGCAGCGACTTTGTACTTCATTGGAGAATCCAAACTGTACATTGGGAGTTTTACGGTAAGTGTGAATTTCACTCCCAGTCATCAATCTACAATGACAGAGAGTTCTCAGTTTTCAGGATAGAAGCTGTTGCATAGAGTTACAATTTTTTTTTTTTCCACTTTTTTGCTTCTATCTATTAAATATATTTACAATTTTGTGCAACACATTAGTTTAGGTCATTAGCTACTAGCTTATTACCTGCCTACTAGCTTATTGCCTGCCTATTATTAACCTAATAACTGCTCATCTGTAGTTATAAAGTGTGATCTTACTCTGCATCCCTAATCCTATACCAAAAACCTAAACCCAACTTCTGCCTTGCTCTTAATATACAGGTAATTAGTAGTTTATTAAGCTAGTAGTGTTAGGTAGTGGTTTGTTGATACCATGAATTATAACCTTCTTTGCAGACTGACAGGCTGCAACATATCAGAGAATGGCTGTGCAGCTCTGGCTTCAGTATTAAGATCAAACCCCTCATATCTCAGAGATCTGGATCTTTCTCATAATGATCTGAGAAGCTCAGGGGTGAGATTGCTCTCTAGTGCTCTAGAGAAGCCTGATTGTAAACTGGAGATACTACGGTAAGTTCTTCATTTTAACTATGAATCTCCTGTAACTGTTTCCATCTTTCCATCACCATTTATTCTATGCACTTTTTGGTGGATTGCAAAAAAAAAAAAGATTGATGAAAACACCAAGATAACTTTGAAAATGCACATAAAAACATACACAGACAACTGAGTAAACTTATGATCCAATAGGAAAAAAAATGCATGTTTCTATAGGATGGAAATACATTCATCAAATATTTATGAATGACTCTGATTCACAGATAAATTCATTTTAGGGTCAAAAAATGTAAACAGTTTTGTAAACGTTCTAAATGTTTTTTTTCTGCTGCTTTTCAAAATTGCAAAGCTTTTGACATTAAACAACTATGACAAAAAAAAATTGCTAACAATATGGTTGTTTCTTTAAAGATTTTGTTATTTAGAGCAGGGATGCGCAAACTTTTTCTCATGAAGGGCCAAAAACCAAACTTAATTGAGGGTGGTGGGCCAAAAATAATTATGGCAAACTTTTACATTAAAGTTGCCATGGTAATTTTTGCCATGGTAAAAAGTACTAATTTATTAGGATTTTAAAATAAATAGAAATATAAATACTTTAATTGTATTGATAATTAAATATATTTATTTTTATATTCTAAAATGAAATTTGTATTGATTTGCTTGTCGATGTCTTGAGCATTGTCCTCTATTTTGAGTGACAGTATTAACATATTTTGAAAAATCTGATTTAGGCTCAACATTTAATTCCAGTTAGCTTTTTTGAAGCTCAACAATGAAAGAAACTTACGTTCATGACGATCTGTTACAAGCATTCGCTCCAACCTTCTTCCTCTCTTCTCAGATGGAATGGCGGGCCACACCAAAGGTTACCATAAGCCAACTTTGGCCTATGGGCCCTAGTTTAGGGATCTCTGATTTAGAACCTTTTTATTTCATTACAAAGTTATAATTATACCAGTGTATACACATAATAAGTGTTTTAATTGCAAATATTTAGAAAAAATATATATCAGAATATATATCAGCTGGATCATTAAATTGCTGTGTGATTTAAGAGATCATGATATAACAAGTAAATGGGACTCACATTCTATAAGTTTCATTTAACTTTTTATTTATTTGACACTAGTTTATCAGAAAGTGACACATTTGTTTTCTTTGACCAATTGGATGGAGATGGTGCTTTATTTGCAAATGTTTTATGCAATATTCCAGTTTTGTGCATAGGTTTAATTCACATCTTTGGCTGAAAACATAGCTTATGATAAGGTCTTTGCCAATTTAAAGGCTGCATTGTTTAAATCCCGATCCAAAGTCTCATTCAAATGCTTGCATCCTTCCCCTTGTAATGAATGACGGGTATCCCTTTATTTTGATGGTCTCTTTTAGGCATTTTGTCGAATTTAAGTTACATTGCATCTACATGCCAACTTATTCTCATTAGACTATAAGTAGACTGTGAGGTTGAGGTTATGGTAAGGGTTAGTGTAAAATGTACTTGCAAAGTTTCTTATAGTCAGTTAAATGTCTGTTGAAGGAGCAGCATCAGCAGATGTTAGACAGTCTACTAATACTCAAATGAGAAGTCATTGGCATGTAGTTGCAATGCAACTTTTAGTCATCAAAATGTGCAATAGGGACCATCAAAATAGGTGTAAACGAATTATGCAAGCGATGGATTCTCCAAAGTCCACATCCTTTGAAACATGCAGAATCTGAATTGGGACACAGCTTTAGTGACTGAAACAACAAGGACCTGAAGGACCTTCTAAATTTTTCTTTCTTTTTTCTTGTCTTGGCAGTTTGGAATATTGTAAAATCACAGATGATGGTTGTGCTGTTCTGGCATCAGCGTTGAAATCGAATCCCTCACACCTGAGAGAGCTATATCTGTACATGAACTCTTTTAATTTAACAGCTTCGGGAAGACAGCTGTTGTCTAAAATAAAAGATGATCCACACTATAAACTACAGACACTGCATTATGAATCACATTTTTTTTGCTAAATAAGTATTTGTCTGTACAGAAAGTGACATGCATGTCTGAAATGAAAAGAGACTGATTTAGACCTTTCACTCCAGCTTTATTAAGTCATCTGAAATGAATTGAATATTGTTTGACTGATTTTACAGTAAGTTTACACTGGCTTTCTCCAGTGACTTACTGTCATTTTTTTACATAATTTTTCTTGTCATGTGGATGCAGGAAAAAAAAACATGATGCAGTGTTTAACATGAATGTTTCACATGACAACAAGGTACTTTGACTTGACCAATGTCTGTATTTTATTGTTAAGTGTATTGCTTTTTGTTTTGTATTTTTCTATTTCTGGAGCAATATTGTTTTTGTTTTTTTGTGGAAGTACAAGCTGCCCCTTAATTATTAATAATAGTAATTTACAGTACTTTTTATTAAATAATTTTTATAAAAGTGTAACAGATACTATGAAAATGACCATACCTACGGTTACTGTAACAAATGCATAGTTAATTTTGTTTATCATCAATGTATACAAAGAGTGTGTGTGTGTGTGTGTGTGTGTGTGTGTGTGTGTGTGTGTGCGTGCGTGTGCGTGTGTGTGTGTGTGTGTGTGTGTGTGTGTGTGTGTGTGTGTGTGTGTGTGTCTCTGTCTGTCTGTCTGTCTGTCTGTCTGTCTGTCTGTCTGTCAACTTCCTGGTGCATAATTGACATTTTTACTGGAAATGCAGGCACTTTAAAGTTGAAATGTAACTGGTAATTTGACTATGTAAACGCTATGACAGATATGTGTGTAATAATCATTTGTGTGTATAATACAAAGTTGTAAATGTCAACAAGATTGTATTTTATAATTGATGATATTGTTTACTTTTTACATTTCCAGGTGTATTATTGGTCTAAATTTTTAACTGGAAAGTCATGTATGAATGCAGCAGAATACGTAACCAAAGTTGCGTTTTTAGATATTAAATTAGCCTCTTGACTAAATCAGTATTACTCGTCATATCATTTTTTATTTTTATTTTATTCTGGTAGAAACTTTATAGGCTACTGCAAAAATTGTCATCTGGAGCGGATGATATCTTGAATGGTTTTTATATGGTTTTTATATGCTGCATTGTGAGTCTAGCCAGTGCAAGCAGCCTACACAACATATAGAACAGCACAAATAAATAATTCCTACTGAAAATTAATAATAATTGCTGCCTGTGACTAGAATTAAGGTAGAAATGTAAGCATTACGTATAATTCCACTAGAGGGAGATGTTCATCAGTTTTCAGCTTTACATTGTTAAGATTTGACCGTATGCTTTAAATCAGGGTGCTTAAACCTTTTCTTATAAAGGGCCAAAACCAAACTTGATTGAGTCTTGTGGGCCAAAGGTAAATAAAGTTGCTTTGGGTAATGTCTTAATTTATTTAATAAAATTAAAAATGACTAGAAAACATTGCTTTATATTAACTACAGTATTGCTTTTGTTACATTTTATAATGAACTTATTACAGTAAAAACAAAACAATCTAATTTATGACAGAATTACATTAGTTTTTGCCTTGATTTGCTCTCGTCCTCTATCCTATGAGTGGCTTTATTTGCTTTTTAAAAATCTGATTTATTTACGACATTTCATTGAAATATTTAATTTCAGTCAGCTTTTTTTTTTTTTTTTTGTAGCTCAGCAAAAAAACAAAAATGTTACTTCAAGTTAGAAATGACGATCTCTGTGTTAAGGCATTTGCCCCAACCCTCTCCATCATCCTCACTTTCCTCTCAGATGGGATGGTGGGCCAAATCAAAGGTTAAAGTGGGCCAACATGCTCTATTCTGGGCATTTCTGCTTTAATTAGTGAACAGCTCATTTATTTGTTCAATTGTAGTCGTTTACTTTTGGTTACTTGGTTTAGATTTGGTTCCAAGAGTTAAATGAATGTAATTTTAAATATAATATTTATAATTTATTTATTTCCCAGAGATGGGTTGCGGCTGGAAGGGCATCCACTGCGCAAAAACTTGCTGGATAAGTTGGCGGTTCACTCCGCTGTGGCGACCCCAGATTAATAAAGGGACTAAGCCGACAAGAAAATGAATTTATGAATAATTTATTTATTTAAAATTACATTACTTATAAATTTGAAATACTTATACCTTATTGCTATAATTATGCTCATATTTAAGCAACTAAAACGCAATTAAATCCACAGTTGAACGTTGTTTGTATACAAAATGAGTAAACTAGCATGTCTTACAGGTAACTTTAAATGTGATCAAAATATGAGCTTTATATGTAAGTAAGTCTCTATCATTAAATAAATGTAAATGTGTGTGGTCTGTGCCATATGTTTACTCAAGGTTGATAGATGAGTCAGATGTGTTGCAATAATCTCTGACGGTTAAGGATGAATGATTTGATTGACAGCTGAATGGTTCAGGACTGATGATCAAGGTTGCAAATGTCTTTCAGCAACAGCCAATCATTGACTATTATGTTAAAGGGCTCTCTGTGTTACACAATGACACCTTCTTGCTTATTTTTTCACAGTAATATTTTATTTATACATGCATTCGTGGTTGTGTGCGAATTTAAATGTTTTTATTTGCTAATTTGTGGTATTTTTTTATGCAAGAAAGAATATTTCCAAAGACAAAACCACAAAGCGATTAAAAAGAGTACATAAATAAATCCCAGAAAATTATACAAGTATAAAAGATTTTAACCAAGAAAGACTTTTACATGCAATATAATCATTAGTCTTTTAAGAAGTTCACATATAAATCAAAATCTATTCTGAAATTTAAAAAGGATTTATGGATACATTTACAGATGTCAAATTTATCCTGAAAAATCTATAATTTACTAATACATTTACAATGAGAAGTCTAGGTTCTACGAAAGCCCACCGCTGATTAATAAAAAATAAAAATTAAAAATTAAAATTAATAAGTCAGATTATGAGTTATAAACTTGCAATTCCAAGTTATAAAGTTGAAATTCAGAGTTACAGAATTCAGAGTTATAGTTGCAATTCTGAGTTACAAATTCAGAATTCCAAGTTAGAAAGTCAGAATTCCGAGTTATAATCAAAATTCCGAGTTTTAAAGTCAGAATTTGGAGGTATAAAGTCGCAATGTAAAGTTGCAAATCCGAGTTATAAAGTCAGAATTCCGAGTTATAAAATCTGAGTTATAAAGTTGCAAATCCAAGTTATAAAGTTAGAATTCCAAGTTACAAAGTCAGAATTCCAAGTTATAGTTGCGATTTTAAGTTATAAACTCACAATTCCGAGTTATAAAGTCAGAATTCAGAGTTACAAAGTCACAATTCCGAGTTATAAAGTCAGAATTTGGAGTTATAAAGCCGCAATATAAAGTTGCAAATCCAAGTTATAAAGTCTGATTTCCGTGTTATAGCCGCAATTCCAAATTATAAAGTCAGAATTCCAAGTTATAGTTGCAATTCCAAGTAATAAAGTTGCAATTCCGAGTTAAGTCAGAATTTTGAGTTATAGTTGCAATTCTGTGTTATAAAGTCACAATTCGAGTTATAGTCGCAATTCCAAGATATAAAGTCGCAATTACGAGTTATGAAGTCAGAATTCAGAGTTACAAAGTCGGAATTCTGAGTTATAAAGTCACAATTCCGAGTTATAAAGTCAGAATTTGGAGTTTTAAAGTCGCAATTTAAAGTTGCAAATTTGAGTTGTAAAGTCTGAATTCCATGTTATAGTCGCAATTCCAAGTTATAAAGTCAGAATTCCAAGTTATAGTTGCAATTCCAATAAAGTTTAAATTCTGAGTTAAGTCGCAATTCTGTGTTATAAAGTCGCAATTCGAGTTATAGTCGCAATTCGAGTTATAGTCGCAATTCCAAGATATAAAGTCGCAATTACAAGTTATAAAGTGAGAATTTCGAGTTATAGTCGCAATTCCCAGTTATAAAGTTGTAATTCCTAGTTATAAAGTGGCAATATAAAGTCGCAATTCCGAGTTATAAAGTCAGAATTCTGAGTTACAAAGTTACAATTGCGACTCTGAATTGTGACTTTATAACTTCAGAATTTTGACTTTATAACCCGGAATTGTGGATTTTATAACTTGGAATTCTGATTTTATAACTCAAAATTCTAACTATATATATATATATATATATATATATATATATATATATATATATATATATATATATATATATATATATATATATGTATATATATGTATATATATATATAAAGAAAGAGAGAGAGAGAGAGAGAGAGAGAGAGAGAGAGAGAGAGAGAGATTTTAATTAGTCAGTGGCAGAAACAGAATTCCATAAGGTTCAGAGAGTAACCGAAGTTTACAATTTTGGGGAATATAGCTAAGTTAAGAAATAAGAATTAAAACAAAACTCTTTACAGTGAGTACACTCCCAAAATAAATGAATAAGTGTTTCTTTATATTTTTTTAAAAATGAGCGTTTACAGGAAATAGCGTTATTCAATGTAGCTGGTTTGATATTTATTGGGATTATAATTAATTTCGACTATGACTTTGACAGCTTTTTCTGAAGAAGCAAAAACCCATTCCCATTCTATGTCACCAAATATATCCTTCCAAAACAGATAAAGATTTAAGATTAAAGATTAATAACCGAGCGAATATCTTTGTTTGACAGACCTGAGAAGACTTTGGTCAACAACTTGATTTGTGTTAATTTGTGTATAAATCTCTCCAGCAGTGATGTGGTCACGTCGCATTCCTGAAAGGCACACTTGCCACGCGACAGCAGCAACACGATCCTCAGAGCGGAACACTAAAACACCCACAAAACACAAACAATAGTTTAACTGCTCTGGCTTTCTCTGCGCCTTTCATTGTATTACAGAGCTGTCTGTTTGTGCTGTCACCTAAACGCCTCCAATCTTTCCACCAACGCCGCATATTTATTTATCTCTCACTTCCTCGTCGCGGTCATCTATCTAAATAATCAAAGTGCAAGTTATTTGATCAGCTTGATGATTGTGGTTATTTGATCAGGATAGCTTTATTTCAGAGTTTAGCTTGTGGTTGTGTTTATGCGTACAGCTACTTGTGTCCAGTAGGTGGTGCTGTGAGCTGGATACAGTGGTATCAATATGCATCAAACGAGTTTAGAACCTGACATCTTGTGTATTTTTGTTTTAAAAAGACTGAAACATTAGAAATGATCAAAGCCGTGACATTTAACTTGCGTAGCCTATACATGAATGACATTTATAAAAGTCATTTGATATACATAAGTCATATTAAACGAAAGTAAATTGTCTACAATACTCCCTGCTGAAAA